CCCGAGCTCAGCACCAACTCAGCTTAAAGCGGCAGGAGCTCAGCTCTAGAAACGGAAATGGATTTTGGTATGCTTAAGTTTCGTCTCTGAGTAATTTGGTATTTACTGCTAAGAGAAAGTGCAATGCAACTGCAGGACTACTACTCAATATGAACTCGGTTGCTCAGGAGGCAGATAGGCAAGCCAGGCATAGCCACCCCTTTACCGCAAATCTGTGATTATCCATAAATAGGGATGCAGGTAGGCCTATCCTATTACCCATGAAGAAACATGACGTATATATGTTAGTTATCACCTAGCAGAAAAAATAAGTAATACGGCATAGGCTATTAGTTCTGTTGATTCTCATTCTAATTTTATCTCCTTAATCTATATTTCTAATAACCCAATTACCTGCCATGGATAGATCGTACAAAAACAACTCTAGGGTATTCTAGCTGATTGAAGATGTGAATGCATCGGCGAGCGGCGGGCTGCGGCGCTTTTGGCTGGATTTTGCGGGGTACTACGGGCGGCACTTCCTCAGCTAGTTAGCTCGGTTTCATAGGGTGTCCAAAACGAATAGACAGCTACACCGTAGAAGGAAGCCCAATTCAAGGAATAAATCTAGACCATGCAAGCGTCAAGAGTATACAGGGCAGAATTTCTTAAAATCCGTGGTATGACTAGGTTAGTAAATAAAACCTTTAATTGATAGATTTGCTTTGTTTTTGAGATCGAAACTTCGACTCTCCGCAAGTCACACCGTTGGTGTTCGCGTTACGTACCAAAAAAGCTGCACTAGCTGCAATATCGTTTTGTCTAGCAGGGACTCTCTATAGATATGCATGCTCTTGGCGATGGCGATATGCTTGGCAATCCGATTAAGCTCAGAAACACAAATAGTGAGCAGATTGCAGTTAATTTCGAACCTCGCCCTTGCCTTCTATTGGCCTAGACATCAAAAACTAAGACGTAAATTTTTTCTTTACTCCGGAGACCCACTGAATCCACTGCCTCCACTGAAAGGAGAAACAAGCTTCGGCGAGATTCCCTTTCTTCTTACCTTTAATTTTTATCTTTACTGCGATCTCTGAATCTCTTTTTATTTCTCTATGAAAAAATCTTAGTCTCGTTGTCTAAGAAAACACGAAAAAATGTCGCCCGCACGAACCGAAGTGGACCGATCGAGTGGAGACAAAGAGGCAGCTTGCTGGTCCGCGCAAGAGGATGGCTCTGAGACTAAGCCTTATGGCGCAGCCACAGCCCAGCAAGAAGCTGCTCGACAAAAGGATATTGAATTTCGCCAGAAATTTGGTGATGCCGGTCCCCTTGGCCTCTCTGGATTTGCCTTCGCGACGTTTTTGACAGCCTTGGTCAATCTCAATGTTCACGGCGTGACTGTTCCCAATATTGTCATTGGACCAGCTCTGGCTTATGGAGGCCTCGCTCAATTACTTTCTGGCATGTGGTGAGTGGCTGTTCATTTAATACAGCATGTTTACAGGTGGATTCTAATGCTTTGATTAGGGATATCGCCAATGGCAATACAGTCAGCGCCACTATTGCCTGCTCGTATGGCTGTTTCTGGATCTCTTTTGCCATCAGTATGATCCCCAGCTTCCACGTCAGGGATGCTTACCCCAGCCTTACCGACTACAACCACGCCAACGGACTATTTCTTATGGTAGGTCACTGCTTCATTTACCTACTCCAGAGCAATCCAAAACTCACATTCTGTAGGGATTCTTCATCTTCTCAGTGGCCATAACTCTGTGCTCTATGAAGTCGAATGTCTTTTCTCTGACGCTTTGCCTTCTCGTCAATTGCACCTGGCTCTTCCTCGGGGTGGCTAACCTCTGCACTGAGGAGTCGGGAGCTCCTAATGACGTGCTCCTCAAGTGCGGTGGTGTGACTGGCTTGTTGGTTTCATTCACGGCGTGGTATCTTATGTATGAAGGTCTGGCAAACAGACAGAACAGGTAAGTCTACGCATGAGTATGTGAGAATTGCACTGACAGGTCGGGTTAGCTTTGTTCTGCCACCGAATCCTGATCTTCCATGGAATCTAAGCCGAAGATCGTAGAAGGGGTCAATGGTTTTAATATAAAATAACTATCAATTTTGAGATTAGCGAATATATTTAACACTGTACTGGAAATGGCTGTTGGGATATGTTTTACACATAGAAGACATAAATCCTACCTCTCAGCTACTGGGGCTCTTGAGTATTACTAATCTATAGCAGCTTTACATCCTATAGCCACATGCCTCCATCACGTCGTTACAGTTTCACATTCATCAGGTGGCAAATTACCATGAGCCTGAAATAAGTAGAAAATAATAGATTTAGTACTAGTAGAAAAGATTGTAATCAAAGTAGAGACAACTCTGAAGCGTATATAGAATATGCCAAACGGTAACTCAATATGCATGGAATGAGTCGAGGAAGGCTTCACGAGCCGAGGTTCGAATGTAGTTGTAGGTGCTTCTCAGCCGCAGCCGCACTCTCCGCAGCCCTTCTTCTTCTTAGCGCAATACGCCTGGTTGTTGTTATACGACCCTTTACAATCTTGCCGCCTTCTACAAGGGGTCTATCGTCCATTTCCTGATTCATACTTAAGCCAACACTACGGCTTTCTCTCAACAAATAGTTTAACGGACCACCGCAGTTCCTCCAGCACCAGCCATCGGTGCATCCGTAGTCGTAATCGAGATCATGGCCTCTGCCTTTGCCCAGCGGGCACACAACTTGGTTGGGCTCCCGACGAGAGAGACCCTCCAGGCTCGCATCCCCATTTAAAGATTACCAAGCGTACCAATCGGTAGAGTACCATCAGTAGCTTCACTAACTTTGCCGCCACCACGATGCTCTCATGCCGAAGCTGATGTGATTATCTGTGCATTTGACAGAGCTTGTCCGCAAACAGCCGGTAGTTCCCTTGGCCAGATCATTGCATGGTGGCAAGCTTATGTTGGTCTCACTTCACAGATTGATCATGTGCTAATACTGCTCTGCCTATCGGGTATGTTGATACTTTTTAATTGGTATATTTTAATAGAATCCTGTCTGAGCGAAAGCCCATCTACCTATACGGCCATTACCCCTACAATATTGAAAAGAACCTTAGATACAACGCCTGGCTTACAACCCCAACCCCAATAACTAATTATTCCTCATCATAGATACGAAGGTTTAGCTTAGTTAGCAGTACCTATCTTTTAATCACTATCTAAAGTATTGCTATTTTTATATTTATTTTAAAATATATCGCAGCAGCAGTGTAACTTGTGACAAATCCGAGATTCGGCGGACTTTTGGCATCTTTTCGGCCCTTGGAATCCATTTTTTACTAATACAGCCAAGGATGCAGACCCCGCTTAACGAATGCCGCAGAGACTAGTTATGTAAATCCAATCGCAAACCAGAAAGTCTAACTACTATACAGAAATTTTGGGTGGTGTTGCTTATCTCGGCACTTGCCGAACGCGGTCATTATGATATCATACTTTAAGTGCTTAGCGTTGTTCTCCATCCCGATCACTCAGGTAAATACCGACGAGAGTCGGCCGAAAACGCCTCTTGGAAGAGTATAAAAGGGATACTGCTAACCAGTTTAAAGTAATCCTGTAACTCTATAAAATCTCAACTATACAGTGCAACAGACTCTAAACAAACAATTTTATAATTTAATTATTTTTGAAGATGTCGTCGACCGAAGCCATAAACAAATTCGTCGAGGGTTACGCCCAGCTCTTCAAAACTGGGCAGCGCTCCCCTATTCTCCGTCGCCCGGACGAGTACGGTATGGAATACGAGGACATCTTCTTTCCGTCTCTCGATGGAACCGTTTTACAAGGATGGTTCATCCCTGCATTAAATTCACAGAAGCTCATCATCGCCAACCACCCTATGACTTGCAACCGATATGGGTTTCCTGGCCATCTGGAGGGATATGGTGGTTTTGGCGGTTTTGAGGTCAACTTTCTTCCTGACTATAAGAACTTACACGATGCCGGTTACAACATCATTTGTTACGACCTTCGCAACCATGGCATCAGTGCTAGTGGTTCCGGCGGCTTGTGCGGCGCTTTGGGATATTATGAAGCCCGCGATGTTGTTGGGTCTATCAAATATGCCCTGTCTCGCCCTGAAACAAAAAACAATAGTATTGGTCTTCTCAGCCGTTGCATGGGCGGAAACGCCACCATCCACGCAATGACACACTTCCCAGAGTACTTCAAGACCATCAAGGCCATGATTCTTCTCCAAGCTGTCTCTGGGCACGCCTTTGTCGAGAAGGGAGCTATCAATTCCGGCCTCGATAAGGAGGCCACTGTCACCGCATTTGATAAGCGCATCCATGAACTTACTGGTTTCCGGTTGGCGGAACTGACTCCGCTGCCTTTGGCAAAGAATGTAACAGTTCCGACCCTTTTCGCTCAGGTTCGCAGAGATACTTTGATCGATACCTCTGATAGCCAACAAATCTTCGATGCACTTGGAAGTAAGGAAAAGAAAATGGTCTGGATTGAGGATACTGACAGGCGCTTTGATGGTTATAATTATTTTGCAAAGGAGCCAGTTGAGATGCTTAACTGGTTTAAGCTGTATGTCTAGGCGCCATTCAATCTTTATTAGGGTTCAATTATAAATTATAAATACCTTGGTGCAAAGATCGACGCCTTACCATTTAGTTTTATGCTATTGTACTATTTAAAAAGCGGCATTAGGCTTACAGGTGTCTTTCAGCTGTTATTTTATCATTAAGAATGGTGAAGAAAGAAATCATATCAATATAATATACATCCTCTGCATGATGCCGCAAATCCTGCTAAAGTCTGTAACCTACTTACGTTGCCGAAGCCCTTTAACCTTTTCAAGGTTTACAGTTCTAAATGCCTATCGGCCTTAAGTTATCTTGGCATGTCTTAGGTTCGCATTAAGTCAAATTTACCAAACGAATTATATTACTATGCGTATTTTAACCACTACTTGAACCTGCATTCTTCACCAACTATCATGGGTCCAAGTGGTCGATAAGGCCTAAATCCAGATCTTGCCATCTCCATAATTCGGCCAGATTTCCGAGTTCCTCCTCAGATATAGATGCAAACATAGCTTGCTCTACACTCCCATCATCAAGGTTCGATAAAGACTGAATGTTCTTACTCATACTGGACTGAACCATGGGTGGTTGACCGACTATAGATGCTTCATGAACTGAATTTGTGCCATGGTTCGGTTGAGCCAGTGGATCAGGTCCAAGACCGACATTTGTTACTTGAGCCACTGAGGCTGTATACTCTTCATTGTGAGAGCCAACAGCAGGGCTTTGGCTGTGGCAAGTGGGGATGGTGCTTGGTGCGGCACATATATCCGGGAGCAGCGATGTCGATTTAGAAACAGTGTATTTCAGACACTTGCGTGGTGGTTCAGTGACTTCTGGATTCATAGAGACCTTCCCCCGAACCTTGAGGCGTAGTCGATGGAGGATTTTATTGTAAAGTTGAAAGTTTGGAGCAATCGTCCTTAAATGCTTAATCATGTCCACAGCCATGTCAAATGAGTCGAGCATTTCTTGACGCTTGGGGACTGAGCCATCTTCGTCGTGGACTAGAATGCTCGAGTATAAAGCAGATGTGTCAAAAATAGAAAATATGACAAAGTGGAACTTAGCGTCACGAGGCCAAACGTGGTTGAAGAACCCGCGAAGAACAGCCATCAATTTCAATGCGTAGTCGATGCCGTCTGTTCTTATTTGGACCTCAGCTTTGGATGCGGTTTTCGTATCGATAGATGTGGCTAAACGAACACGCAATGGATCCAGAATCATGGAATATCCCATAGTGTGAATGTAATGGCGGTGGAGCGGAATCCATGGGCAAAGAGTGTCCTGGCTATAATCCGGATTATCGAGGTCAAATATCGGTGGAAACTTCATCATCCAGTCTTCCAACATTTTCTGATACTCTTGAATGTCGACAGACTCAACAACATTTCTGGTAGGCCCAAACCGGTTAAAAAGCTTTCGAATAAGCTCGGACTGTAATCTCAGGTGTAGCAGTGGTGATGGAGTGGTGCCTTCGAGGGTCAGCTCGGGCAGACCGACTTTGCAACAGGTTCGATCTATCATCAGAGGTCTCGAAAGCAGTGCAGACATTTGCCTATTACTTGTCAGATATGTTGACTATATAACCAACAGAGTACCCACCAATCCCATGTGTCAAGCACACACCAAACTCGTCGGTACATTTCGCGTTCGAAGTCAGAGATGTCGAGCATGGATATTTCTTGATGGATGCCTGCGAAAATACATTAGAGCTGTCAGGTGGTTGCGTGAATTTGAACCCTACCAATTTCCTGGGCTTCCCGAATAGCGGCGGATAAGCTATACCAACACTCCGTGAACCGGGCTTCCGACTTGTACCAGTAACATGAGTGTAGCAAATATTGCACACTGTGTAAATGACTCCTTCCAGGTGGAATGATGTTGTAAAGCTCGCGAGAAACTCGGTGGTACCGTTCGGTGAGTGTTTGCGTCTTCTCACCCAGTTCATGCTCAAGCTTTCCTTGTAACTCGGTACTTAGATATTGAGCAGAGCACGCACAAATGACAGTGAGGAGACATGTCCATTGTAACTTAATGGGGTCTCCTGAGATTCGATCGGTCCACCAGTCCCGGTAATCATCCAGGAAGGACGAGGGGTAGATGATGTAATAGTGAAAGTTGACGTTGTCGAAAAAGTTTTTAACAAGGGAGTCTGAACGTGAGATTTAAAAGCCGTCAGGTGGTATTCGGGCAGTCTCCAGAAACTTACCCATGAATGATCGGGTAGGAAGTACATCGAGAACGTGTCGTAATTGTGGGCATGAATTAGGATCGATGCGAAGTTGACTCGGCGGAATCCTCTCTTTCTGATCTAGTATTAGTCGCTCTCTTTTTTCCTTTCATCTAGCATACCTTCGCTTGAATACAAATCCTAGAGAAAAAGGATTCTGAACCATACCCCAAAACTTGAAGCACTTGTGCCTCATCCATTTCATCACCAGACTCGTCTTCCACCGTTTCCTTGCGGATTCCAGTATCAATCGGACGCTTCTTTTGACCTGGACTCTGGCGTTCAAGGGCCCTGAACTGACATTTGTTCGCTACATTCCGTTTCTGGCAGTTATTACAGGGCCAATTACGGTCGCACTGGTGTTGAAATTAGCCACGCGGCCAATTGATAGAGGCTGGACTGTTAGGTACTTGCCTTTTGCTTACGACGAGCACACTCTGTACAGGCAGTGCGGCCGGAATTGGCTTTTCCTGTAACATCTTCGTCTACACTTGAAGTCATACCCAATAATGACGTGATGATTGGTTGTGACTAAGGTCGTAAAATGGGGGAAAGTATAGGAGACAGCGGGGTGAGATTGAAGTAGTAGTGAGTTTAATTTGACGTTTTAGTTATCTATGCATAGCTAACGAGGTCCCGGCGAATAGCCGGAGCATGCCGAATTAACATTAATCCGCAGTGCTTCTATCAGGTAATGTTAATAATAGTAGCAAGCATCGCCAGTTTTCTCTCCATAATTTATATTTATATAATTAAATTAATAATGATAATATATGTATCTTAATACTACTTTCTTAATATTTCAATATAATATAAGGCATAGCGCAGTTTACTAAGCCTTACTTTGCACATTTGCTTACTATTTAATAAAGATATATAATTAAATAATATACCACTACTATAATTTATAAAAGACGAAATATTTACTTATAATAACTACTATAAAAATCACGCTAGCCCCGTGTTGCAAACAGTAACGATTTTAGGCACAAGCTCAGAGTAGCCTTGGAAATAGCTGGCGCAAAGGTAAAGCAAGTATTAATATATTTCGATTAATTAGTGGCAGGAAAACACTGCGGATAACATTATCAATTATTTTAGTATATGCGGCAAGGCCCTAGCCATATCCGGAATTATGCTCCCTTGTGCAGTAAGCCGTAGTGAGCGATGGGCTGAATTTTTCAAGGTCGTGATCATCGAGCTTGGCAATTCCGCCGGTATCGATACAGCAATTGGAAATTTTATCAGCCAGACGGTAATAAATCTGTTAGAAAACTACATCCAAGTGCCAAGCACATTCATAAATATCATCGAAGCTTACTTCAAGCAGGTGAATTAAGTGAGTACCGCCAATGATGTAGATGCTAAAAATAATTGTAGATAAACTGAATCCTCAAGCTATTATCAAGTTCTATATGGCGATTATAAGCTCTCAGCCACATATGTCAACTGCAAGTAATACTTCTAGCTCACTATTTAGACATTATACCGCCTCAAGCTATTAAAAACCTAGCACTGACACTGTCGCCTTCTTCAAACCAGATGATTCAATTCTAGGCGTTGCTTGTCGCTCAAAAGACATTGGTATTGCTGACCCTCGGCGAACAGACGCGCCATATATTACACCTGAAAGTGTAGGCCATGGCGGGCGAGAGTTATGCTCCGTGATACTGCACAACATTCACAAAGTTTCGCGATTTCAAGCAAGCTCCTGCATCTCAGTTGTTTCTCTTTTAGCACTGACGCGAGCGTCAACACCTTCATTAAAGTCGATACCGTCGAAAATCTGGCTAACTTCTTCCAGAGTCCTACCGTCGGTCTCGGGGAAAAGGAAACAGATGAGGGTAAGCCATACGTACAGCATGACAACCCAAAAGATTAAGTAGTTTCATTCGAGGGTTTCCATAGGGACAGGGTTGACGAATCCGTTGAAAAGACCCGCGCCGTACGTAAAGATCTGTTCGACGGTATACCCCTTGGCACAAAGCGTAAAAGGCATGATCTCGAGGATGCATGTCGGCAAAACGGGATTGATGCTGATATTATAGGACAGCTGGAAAACGAATATCATGACAACCGCACCATATCCTAAGCTGCTGTCCTTGAAAACCCTCCGCTGGCTGATGGATGAGAGGACGGTCCAAAGCAGATACGAGGCTGCGATTGCAGTAAATCCGAAAGTAGAATTGTTCTCCACCCGAATCGAAGAACACTTGTCACGCCAAGAATGGTGATTCCGTAGCAGGAGATAGTCAGAGCACCATTAATTAGATTTTGCTCCTCTGGATCATCGATGTCAATACTTCCTAACACAATCATCAGGTAGAAAAAGACTTGTCCACATTGGACTGCTAGACCAAGAATAATGGCAACTGCAATTCGTCATCGCTTACCCTCTAGAACGTTGCTAGAGAAACTGGCCGAACATGACAAGTGGATAGCATGATAGGCTTGCTGGTTGCTAAGAAGTCGAGGTCTGAGTTCATGTTTTGCAACTTTTCAAGTTCAATAGAAGACCCAATTTCTGCCACCTGATACCGTACAAGAAGGCGAATTCTCCAGCTCTAGTTATTTTCTAACTCAAAAGTACTATAGGTACTCCAGGCCACTACAATGACCCCTAGTAACCCATTATAAATGTTAAAAAATTTGCTAGAAATACGTTAATCAGTATATCCAAGTTATCGCCGCAGATGAGGTTAGAAATGGCCGGTGCGTTAGGTAAGAGAGTTTGATACAACTCCCACCACGCCTATTCCCAAGCCAACAAAAACCCTCCCAACTAGAAACAGGCCAGTCTTATAGGTAGCCATCTAAAAAGCTGTTCCCAACGGATCCAGAACGGATCCACCGAATAAGGAAGCACCCAAAGCGTCGCAAGCATCGTACCTTGTCGATTACATGGTTATCCTCCAACAGGCTCTGCAAACCCATGCAGATCAATCGAATCGTGTGGGGCACAGCACTCGGAAACACGGCTGCCGGGTCGAATGTCAAGTAGCTAGATGCACTAAGTGCTACCTGGCGCCCTCCTTTTACATTCATCAAAACTCTTTCAAACAACGCCTGATCCACCAATGAATCCACCCTTTTAGAGAAGACTAGTATTCGTATTCGGGCTTTTTTGGTAGGGTTTCTGCACTAAATAGTATCTCTTATTTTCACTTATGAAACCTCACGTATTTAAGTTATTTTCTTCGCCATCAATTCTCAACAGTACACCAAGCTTGATCATATCGCGCACCCGCGGCGCATAAAAAGCTCAAGCCGTCAGCCTTATATTTTACAAGAAAGAAAAACCCGTTTTAAGTACGTGATGGCAAATTCAAGCATCAGCAACCATCCACTTGGAGAGTTGGCAAATATCCGCCAAAGAACATCAAACTCATCGACGACGGTTAATGAGGAGGACGTAGTATACCCTGAAGGAGGGCTGGAGGCATGGCTAGTTGTTATAGGAGCCTGGTTTGCTATGATTCCATCGATGGGCTTACTCAATACCCTTGCTGTGCTCCAGGCTTGGGTGCTTGAGAACGAGCTACCTCACCTACCCGAATCAACGGTAGGGTGGATCTTTGGGTGTTATGGTTTCTTTCTCTACTTCTGTGGTGCTCAAGTTGGTAAGTTCTTCATTCTTCAAACGATCTGTTAACTAATCGCTTATTGTCACGACACATGACAGGCCCAATCTTCGATACCCACGATATCAAACTGCTGGTCATCCCAGGATCTTTTGGTATGGTTCTCTCGATGGTGTTTGTGAGCTTTTCGACGGGTAAGATGCGCATATACTCAACTGATACTGCTCTTCTGCTAATTTACTGCTGTTGTAAGAGTTCTATCAGTTTCTGCTTTCGTTCGGTGTCCTAGGTGGTATATCGGCGTCCCTCCTTTTCAATCCCAGTCTTGCAGCAATCGGGCACTGGTTTTGCAAGCGACGTGCCTTTGCCACTGGACTCGCATGCACTGCGGGAGGGATTGGAGGAATAGTATTCCCTCTCGTTATTCTATACCTCGCGCCCAAGATCGGCTTCGCTTGGCCATTCGGGTTATAGCTCTCATCAACATGGGATCTGGAGTCCTGGCATCTTGTCTTCTCCGAAAGCGTTTACCCTCAAACAAGAAAGCAGGAGCATCCATTGACCTCAAGGCTCTAGCAGATGTCAAATTCGCGAGCACTACGGCCGCAGTCTTTCTTATCGAGTTTGCGGTCTTCATTCCATACTCATACATTTCCGCCTATGCCATGCATTACGGCTTTAACTCTCAGAAAGCTTATCTTCTCAACACCCTGCTCAACGTCGGCGCAGTTCCCGGTCGGGCGTTGCCTGGATACGTCGCAGATCGATTTGGCACTTTCAACACCATGTGTATTACTTCGTTTGTATGCGCTGCACTTATTCTGACACTCTGGCTAAAAGCTGCAGGAGAGGAAGCGAGAACGACTTCTTTTACTGTGCTTTATGGTTTCTGGTCTGGGGCAGCTATAAGCCTTACGCCTGTCTGCATAAGTCAGGTTTGCATGATTGAGGATATTGGAAAAAGAACGGGAACCGCATTTTTTATCGCCAGCTTCGGTGCTTTGACCGGTATCCCCATTGCTGGTGCAATCCTCGAGGCAAGCGATGATTCATATGGGGGGCTAATTGTCTTTGCGGGGATCTTATATATATCTGCCTTTGCTACATTTGTCCTTGCTCGAGGTATAGCAGGTGGATGGTGCTGGGCGAAGCTATTTTAGTCGATAAGGAGTAGACGATTTAATCCATATATTTGATAGTAGGCATCGACATAAGTACTATCATTTCCAGGTCAAATACTCACAGCTAGGCTGGATATAAACGATGTTAATTGATTATATTGGCTAAAGTCAATGCGCAGTTTTTGGCATAGTCTATTTTAAAAATATATTAGAAAGTTTTAGCAATCTATAAATAAGGGCTCTTAAGCCTTTTTCCGACGTACTTTTAAATGATTTACAATAACTGCCTGCAAGTATATAGTTACTGAAGACCTTAGATAGGCCGAAAGGACTATTATAAGATATCCCTTAAGTAGAAGTTATAACTCTTTTTAATATAACATAGCTCTTAAATGTAAAGGGCTTAGGACAGCTTGGTGAAAGCTGACCGTCTATAGCTAGCAGACAGTCCTTAATGTATTTTCTTTGCTGTTTCTTTACACCGACTTATATATAAATTAAATCGCTCTTTATGCCTACTAATAGACTTATTACTCTTTAACTTATATTTTAATATAGATTATATTATACTGTTTATTATAACTAGGTTTCTTTTTCTTTTTCTTTTCTTTCTTTCCTAATTATGCTTTCTAGGCCAATATCTAAATTATATAAGATATTTATTCTAAATAGGAGATATACTCTTTGCCCAAAAGAGAAGTAAGCTGAAGGTCGTTTGAGCTATCGATCTTAAGATGAACTCGGAACCTGTTCTCCGTCCCCCTAACATGAGACATATCTAATATAATGCAGTAGTGACTCCTCACTTTGACTCAATCAGGGTCTCGATACATAATACATTAGTCACCGACTTGTGTCCATTCATCCAGGGATATGCATCCGTTAAATTATAACTTATTATATAATTACCAGGCACCTGCCAATCTCCTGGATGGGAACCCTCGAAGCAGAAGCGGTTCTCGTTCCTACTGGTATCAGGTAGTGTCACAAGACTAGAGAAAACGCGGAATAGACCCAAAGCTAAGACTGTAGTCATCACCCTGCAAAGTATTCTAATCAGCATCCTTAACCCTATTCTAGGAGGCAGGGGTCCTTGTTCTCCGGAGTTAATACGATGAGTATGTGGGTATATCTCATTCACGCCGCTGATTAAGCACCTTCAGGAATGAAATTAATTTAGCAACTGTTAAGAACAACAGCGACGACGACGATGATGACGACGACAGCAACTGCTTGCAAGGTCCGATTTCCAGGGAGAGCTACTTAAGAGTTGCATAACCCGCAGTGAGTAAGAACAGGAAAGTGAAACGCTCAAAACATCTCAGTTCTTAACATATTATCCTATCTTCAACTCCTAAAAATAAACCAAATCATGCGTTTTTCAGCGCCCGCCCTCCTATTTGCTGTTTTAAGCCTCTTCAACGTTGCTGCAACAGCCTCGGCCTGCAAGTCTAACGAATGGATCAACCTTGCCCCAATCCCAACTGCACGTCAGGAACACGGCACTGTCGCCATAAGCAATGAGACAATTGCCATCTTGGGCGGCATTGTTGTCGTAGGCAGCGGCACGGAGATGACCGATTTACTGCAGTTTTATGACATCCCTTCGGACACGTGGAGCACCAAGTCCGCTGTCCCTCGTAAAGTCAATCACCCAAACGTTGCTGTCGTGGGCAATAAGCTGTACTTGCTTGGCGGGTTGGTTGATGGCCCAGCTGTTGCGGGCGTATCCATGAACTGGGTAGCTTCTGCATCCTCTTATGTTTACGATGTCACTGCAGATACCTGGAGCAACCTGGCCCCAATGCCCAATGGCACGGAGAAGGGAAGCTCCATTGTTGGTGTCCACAACGAGATGATCTATCTCGCTGGCGGTATGACTGTGCTTCAGGATACCTATCAAGACGCTGTCAATACTGTCGTATCTTTCAACACGACTTCAGGCCAATGGCAAAGGGTTGTGGCGAATGCAGCCGAGCTGCCAGAGAGCCGCCAACACGGTACAGGCGCTGTGATCGGCGACACCTTTTACGTCGTGGGTGGCAGATGGTTTGGTCAGATGAACACCCGTGACACGGTCTTTGAACTTGATCTGACCAACCAGGAAACTGGATGGAAGTCTAGTGCAGCTCACATGCCAGTTTCCCGAGGTGGTATCTACGGTGCCGCGGTTGGAGACAAGTTCTATGCCTTTGGTGGGGAAGGAAACCCAGACACCTCTACCGGCTTGTTCAACCAGTCCGAGGCTTTTGATACGGAGTCACAGCAGTGGACCGAACTAAATCCCATGGCGGTCCCTCGTCACGGAACCCAGGCAGCTTCCGTTGGGGGCCTCGTTTACATTCCCGGGGGTGGGCTTCAGCAAGATGGCAAGGCGGTTTCCATCAATGGGTCTATGAGCTATATGCAGCTGTCATCCCATTTTGATGCTTACTGTGTTTGAACTTAGTCTAGGAGGTGGGGTACACTTGTGTTTAAATGCTGTAACTACACATGGGAAAAAGACAACTTTCTGGAGGTGCCTAACATCAGAATGGCTAGCGTTTCAACACAGCGTTCACTACACACACCTCAACAAGCACATCTCTCTAACGTAAATTAGTCTATTTATGTAGATGTTCCTTCTATATAGATTAGTTAATTTATTTTATTAATCGAGTAAAACCGGAGATTACACATCCAAACTCAGCTCTAAGTTCTGTATCGTGAACAAAAGCTCTCAGGTACAGGCCTTAACTGCAATTGACACACGTAGCTCATGATTTAGGTATTCCTCAGGGTTCATAATTCTAAAGCGACCCAGTCCGTAGGACGGTGTAGAAGAAGGCGTACACCGACATAATTGTCCGTAAAAGCCACCTTGTGGATTGGCAAGCAGCGGTAGGCCACTGGTTTCCTTGTGATCACTCCGTCCATACCGTCCAATTACCATCACGATTAGACAGAACCTCTCCAAGTGACTCCGACGACAACGTCGGTTTGAGGTTGGTCCCAATTCCTAGTTAGACAATCTGGTAAAGGGATTCTTCGGTCTTCAAGGTGCTTGGCAGCGGCCGCGCGTAATCTACAGAATCGAGCCCCCAATAAATACCATTTATAGACATGTGCATCTACTGCGGAATATTGCGGAGGCTGCTAGGTAATATTTTCAGGGGCAAGCTGATGTGTTTGTGATCCTCCGCCCAAGCGTTCAAGCAATGGAACTTTGGTTTTCAGTCAAGTAAGGCGAGGCCAATTAGAAGACAGAGAATAGTGTGGAGCAATGGGCGATCATAGTAAATGCAGATACGAAAATAGACAGGTTTCCGAGGTCTAATCATCGCCTGAAATGAGTAGCCGCTGACTCAGCGGTTCCGGCAGTTGAACGGAGGCTAAGCGCCTTGACGCGTGGAGAGTGGGCCAAAAGACTAACACCAACAGCGCCAGCCAAGTATACGGCTCATGAGAGCTGGGCTGTGCGAGTCATTGTAGAGATTTGATTGTGTAATAAAATCTAGCCCAACTCGCAGCACCGAGTATCTAGGGATAGACGTAATCCAGGCACAAACAAGCAAGGGCGGATGCCTCAACTGGATGGAATCGCGCCGAGATGTGTAGTTAGCTCGGCCAGTCTTATTTAGTTCGGAATCCACAAAATTCAAAGTCCGCACGGCATTTTCATGGTATGTACTTAGATACATTATATTTTCCGGAGGCGTCCTCCATGATCACCTGAGTGAATCTCTGTCTTATGTGTAGCTTCAATGCGTTAACATCACAATTCACAATTTTAATTCTCTTTAGTCTTTACAACTGAGTTACAGGGAAAAGGGACGGGCCGCAGTATAGACAAAGTCTATAACTCTCCAACAACCAAGAGACTGTAAAGTCCGGCCTTTATCGCCGGCGCTTAAAGGTTCGTATGAAAAGGAGTCCTAAGAACACCATTGGGTGAAAGGTGAAAAGCGCCGCTGACTTATTGATGTCTTGGAATACATACAGCATCAAAGCTTACGAACATTGTCAAATCCATGCAACGGCTAATTATTGCCGGTACTGAAGCGAACACGAAGAAGACATTTTCAAATCCACTTTGAACCTCCTGAGTAGGCGTTGAGCCGACTTGATAACGAACTTCAGCTTCTCGGATGGAACTGAGATGGCTAGGCCGTTCTGCGGATATTCGCAGGTATATAAATAACATCCAGTTCCTGAATATGTCTGAAGATCAAAAACCTCAAGCTCTCAAGGCAACCATCCCAGTTACATTGTCTCGATTATTCCTCAGTTATCTTCCCTTTCATTCAGGAAGCCGAATATGCGTTGTAATCCTTCTTTCTATGCCATCTTGCTTGGCCTGGCGGCTACTACCCAAGGCAGTAGTGATCTCGCCAGCAACCTGAAGCGTGAGGCTACAGTTACTTCGAGCTTCAACCCTAAGAACGCGACGCTGGCTGAGTTCAACGCGCATGCTCGCGAGGTAGCCCTTTCGCGACTTAGCAATTCAACTGTCTGTAACAAGGACAACGTGAGGGTTCGAAAGCTGTTCGAGAACCTCACCAGCAATGAGAGGATCTCCTACACAGATTCCCTGAAGTGCCTCATGGACTTGCCAGCCAAGACGCCATCGGACCTCGCCCCTGGCGCCAAGTCGAGATACGATGACTGGGTCGTGACCCACATCAACCAGACTCTGACCATCCACTTGAATGCCAACTTCCTTGGGTGGCATCGATGGTACATCTGGGAGATGGAGCGGGCCCTTCGTAGCGATTGCGGTTACAAAGGCCCCTTTCCTTACTGTACGTCTATTTCCCACGCAAAACAGATCCTTCGGGAATCCCCAGTTTCCCCAGTGTAGCCATGAGAACTTTCCGTGGATCAATCTTGCTAACTAAAGGTGATCAGGGGACTGGACAAAAACGGAAAAGGAGACCTTTGAAAAGTCGGAGGTTTTTGACGGGTCCGCAACCTCGCTGTCAGGAAACGGCGCGCCACTGAACTACACAGACTCTGACGTGATTGTTATCAACTCTCAATATCCCAACATGGAAGTTGGTACGTGAAACGAACGCCTTACGGGCTATCCCCCATATCTCCCGACGAGCTTGTGAAATGGAATAGAAACTAACATTTGTCAGTTTTCCCTCACGGTACCGGCGGAGGTTGTGTTTCCAACGGGCCCTTCGCCAACATCACCGTCAACCTCGGCCCTGTAGGGCTTGCTCTTGTAGGCAACAAGACCGATACGTCTGGCGCGGGATACAAGTACAACCCCCGCTGCCTCAAACGGGACTTGACCGACGAGATTTTGCATCGATACGTCAATGAGACGAGTGTCCTCACGCTCCTCCGTGACAGCAGCGACATCTGGTGGTTCCAGACGATAATGTCGGGTGCGTGGGGTTCTCGCGACATCGGAATCCACCCCGGCGCCCACAACTCACTTGGCGGTGATCCCGGTCGGGATTTCTGGGTCAGTCCCGGAGAGCCAGCGTTCTGGGCTCACCATGCGAATATAGATCGGGTCTGGTGGATGTGGCAGATGCTGGACCCGGAGGTGCGAGCTGCAAACGTGTCGACCGCAGTGAATGGGCCGATCACGATGTATGACCTCTACGAGCCGCATAAGAACGCAACCATCTTTGACCTTCAGAATCTAGGCTGGGTCGCTGAAGCACAGGAAGTGGCGCTGGGTGAGCTCATGTCGACAACAGAGGGAATGTTTTGTTATGTCTATGAGTAGGAGGGGGGGGGGGGTTGTTGCAGAGAGCTGCTCCAGACTTTGTCATATTTTGACTGGGTTTGGATACAACATGGGAGCGGCGAGGCTTTTGAACATCGCGTTGCATGACATAGAGCCAAAGCTAGAAACTTCACTTCTTATTAAGTGTATACTATAAATAACCTTAGAGCCCATCTTCATCAGGTAAGCCTAGGCCCATCTAAACCAGGTCGTTGGGCTCAAAAGAATTACAAACTTCCCATATTGCTCTGCGAGTACTATTAAGGGGTGTAGTAATGGCTATGTTACTTGATGACTTATTTTACAGTTGAGGCCTGTGACTGTGGGGTTGTAGTCACACCGCAGAACTAGACAACTTATAAACCTCACTTGGCCCTCTTATGTCGGATCCTGAGAGGATAAAAGTTGCGTTATAGTACCCGTTAATGTCGCAATAGATAAGTCGACTGAAATTCCCCGCCTTTCCACACAGGACCATCGGCGATTGGATGAATAGCCGTTGTAACCCAAGTGGAGAGATGTCGCCATTCGATCGTCCAAGCCATTTACCCTATCCTCTATAAGAGTTCCATTGGCATGCATTGCGTATCGTAAAGATATGTTTATTTTCTATAGAATATTTAACCATGTGGATCATCGATTCTGCTTATCCGGTGCCCAAATCAGTCCCCGCGGACGAAAAGCATGTCGCGATGGACATCAACCTTGCAAATACTACGTCTCGGCGAAGAAGCTCGCCATACTTGCAGATCAATGCGAGATTCCGAAAATTATCATATGCATATGTGAAGATATAAGACTATGCTCGCGGTCACATCCGTTTTCTCCCCGCCGCTGCTCCCAATTGACATACTGCCCCTATCAGTCGAAAATGGGCGTTATCGCAACCTTGAAAAACAACAAGGTCGGGGCAGTGGTGGTGTCCGTCTTTGACTGGTACCGTTAGTTCTTCATGTTTGACATTGCAGGATATGGGCTGACAATCATGCAGCGTCGGAGTATCCCAAAGAAGAGAGGAAACTTCTTCGCAAGCTTGATCTTGCCATCCTGGTCTTCGGATCTCTGAGCTGTAAGTCTCACAAGATTCATTGAGATCTGTCAATGTACTAAACTCTACCAGTCTTCTGCCGCGTTAGTCCCGCTTACCACCAGTACGTGGCATTATACTGACAGTTTGTGCAAGTTCCTCGGACAACAGAACATCACTAACGCATATGTCTCTGGCATGAGAGAAGACTTAAACGCATTTGGAAATGAGTTGAACTACTATGTCGTTGCGTGTAGGTCGTATACCAGTACCAAGGGGATAGGGCTGATCTATAAATGCTCCATACAGATAACACGGCGTACGTCTTGGGTCAAATTCCATTAATGACGCTCCAGACAAAAGGCAAACTGTAAGTCATAGCCAAGTGGCCTGCTACTCATCCGAGAGGGTGAAGCTGACCATTGCAGGGCGCCATTCTTGCTTCCCTCCCTCCAGATACTTTGGGCCGTTATTGCCTTTTGTCAGTCCGAGATCCAATATAGTGGGCAACTCTATATCCTCAGGGCTTTAACCGGATTTCTCGAGGCAAGCTCGTTTGGTGGCACTCATCTCATCCGTAAGTTCTTGGGCCTCAACTCTCACTATTACTAGTGTAGCTGTCATGGTGATGTACTGATACTCGTCGGTCCAGTTGGCTCATGGTTCAAGAATGAAGAACTCTTCAAAAGAGCGGGTGTCTGGTTCATGGGCAATTCACTCGGCTCCATGTTCTCTGGATATCTCCAGGCTGCTGCATACAAAAACCTCAACGGCGTTTTTGGTCGTGCTGGTTGGCGATGGCTATTTATTGTGCAAGGCATCATCACGTTACCTCTCGCCTTTCTGGGATTCTTCGTTTGGCCTGGACTGCCTACATCACCCAGAAGGTGGTATATGACTGAGGAAGAGCATGCTCTAGCTCTCAAGCGCATCCCTACCGTCGAGAAGGAGGGAATCACATGGAAGACGTTCAAGTACACCTTGAGCCGTCCCATGTGGTGGATCTGCGTTTCTTGCTACATCTTCTTGTGCCAGGCGCATTACTGGGTGAGTTTGATACCCGCAATCATAAAGGCTCGACGCATGACTGACGTCCAGTTAGACTGGCTACATGGCCCTCTGGCTTCGTCACGCTGGCTACTCCATCGAGCTCGTGAACATTCTCCCTACATTTATCGACCTTCTGCGAGCCATCTCTTCTTGGCTTGGTACAACATTAGCAGGCTGCCTCAGCCTCCGAGGACTGTGGACGTTCCAAGCATCATTCGTATTCTTCGCCTGCATTATGCTATCCATATGGACTGTACCTGATGGCCTGAAGTTTATTGCCTTTTACTTTGGTGGCTTTTCTGGCATGGCATCGCCGATTCTTTACTCGTGGGTTAACTCGACGCTGAAGGAAAACTACGGCGAACGAGGTCTTATTATTTCGTCTATGATGACACTGGGCTTTTGCAATCAGATTTGGATCCCGCTCTTCACATTTCCAACGGTCGAGGCACCACGGTTCCCAAATGGATACCCAGCGGCAACGGCTTTTGAGTTCACCATGTGGGCTATCCTGATGGGAGGAGTCTGGTACATGAAAAGGTGGAAGACTAAGCACCCGGATCTTGAGATGCGCCTGGCTGAGCCCGAGAGCCTTGGCCCGGCGAGTGAGTCAGAGTCTGGGGATACGGGCATGGCTGACGCAAAGCGCGCAAGCAAACACGTCAGAAGCCTCTGAATATCAGTGAGATTGAGTGTTTGGGCAGTTGCCATGATTAGAGGGCGAATCCATGAGGCATATCTTGTCTCATGTAATGGTTATGTCGAAAGGTACTGGATCAATTACTATATACATAGAATATGTAAGCCTGCATGCATCAGCCTCTTGCCACCAAAGTTCTGTCATTTGTCTTCTCTCACTTCCTCTTAATGACACATCCTACCCTACCTCGAGAGTAATGTCACGCATAGAATGCTCATCTCGAAGATTTAACCGAGTTTGAAGTTCACAAGTGGATACGAATTAAAGGTTGGGCTGCTGTTTCCGTAGTACCTCTCAGCACTCTCCACCCAGTACCAAACAATAGGAGTTGGGCCGCTTTCAGAAGCACAGCTGAGGACGTTATCGGGATCGGCTGTGCACGTAACGTAGTGGTAAACAGTGATACTGTCGATATTTGCTGCGGTGTCAAACTGGAAGGCATAGTTGGGACCATCGGGAATGACAGTGTAGAGGTAGACTTTGGTGCCATCGATGAGATGAGTGAAGAGTCTGTTGGTCTCGGGCTCAAGTTCGAAGCGGGCCTTGGAGGTTGAGCCACCTGCCTGAGGAGTGCTGTAGGTACCGCCATATTGATCAAGATATGTATCCTTCTCGGTGCCATCGGCAAAGACAGCCGACATCTGAGTCCCCTCGGGGGCCTCCGTGGTAGTGGTGGCCTCAGCAGCGGTAGTGGTAGTCGCATCAAAGGTAGTGGTAGTTGGCTCCTCAGTGAGAGCAGTTGTAGTTGTGTCTTCAGCAAGAGTAGCGGTAGTGGACTCTTCGCTGAGCGTGAGAGTGGTGAGAGTAGTGGACAGATCAGAGAGCGCAGTAGTGGTGGTAGCTTCACTAAGTGTGACGATGGTAGTCTCTCCAGCAACCGTAGTAGTAGAGTCGTCAGTGATCGCAGTGGTCGTGGAAGCCTCCTCGACAGCGGTAGTCGTGGTGGTAGCAGCGAGAGTGGTAGTGGTCAAGGGCTTGCACGGTGACGCCAGGGCGAAACGGGCCTGAGTCGAGACCAAGCAGATGGCCAAGGATTGAAGTGAGAAACGCATCGTGGAACGAGTGGACGTGGTTGAGTAACCAACAGATCAATGAGCGTGGGGGAGGGGGGGGGTTTGCAAAAGTGCGCGACAAAAATTCGATTTCAAATACGAGAAATACCATCCTTTTTAAACTACGGCGATCAGGGGTTGTTAATTTGGCAAAATATTCAGCTACCCAAGCTATTGGTTTCTAACGAGAGACTATTGCTCACTTAGATCTACTAGGCCTGCGCTTATCGCCGCCGCACTTCGTAATCAGCCTAGCTTCTGCCAATCTCGGGTCATGATTTGTTGTTTCACCAATCAGAGGGTTACCTTGAGTACGCAATTTTATTATTCCAGTGGCGCGTTTCCTTTGATGCAGGTACGAAAATAGCTTGCCCCTCTAGCCTCATTCAGAGGTAAAAGAATAGCACGTCAACGGCTTGTATTTATGCCAAAATTTCTTGAGTATTCCTGTTAAGTCTCAGCATTAGGGCGGCTTGCAGACAACAGACTACTATCTTATTCTTCTCATCTCATCGTCACAACTTGACAATGCATTTGTGACCTTTGGGCGCAATCAAGAACCTGTTCTCCATCTCCATCATTGCATCAGTCATCTCAGGACTTAGCGTAGCGCCACGGCATTCACGGAAGAATAGCGCGGCACCAAGTCGCAACTCCATCCAAGCCAAGTGTAGACCGATACAAATTCGTGATCCAGCGCCGAATGGAGAAAAGGCGGTCTTTTGTGCCGCTGTCAGCGTTGATTTGTCCATGAAACGATAGCCATTGAACCTTGTTGTTATGTCAGCGTGGAATTCTCCAAGTAAGCCAGTATGACCATACCTCTGTGCATCGTCAAAGATGTTTCCGTTGCGGTGCAGTGTGAACGCTTGGGTGCTGACAACAGTACCGGGAGGGATGTAATGACCGCAAACATCAAGACCCTTGCCAGGCACGACACGCGGAAGAGCACCAGGAGCTGCGCCATACAGGCGAAGTGTCTCTTCAATCACACTGTTGAGGAGTGGAGCACTCTTGAGCTCTTCAAAGGTCAGCTCATCACTGAGCTCTGAAATCTCACGTTCCAGTTCAGCTTGAAGCTGGGGCTGCTTGAGAACGGCCCAGACGAGATACGTCAAGGTCACAGCCGTTGTGTCTGATCCAGCGACGATGAGATTGCTCGCTTCTTGCTGCACGCTTGATGTGGAGAGATTCGTCTTTTCCTGACTGTCAGACTCGGCCAGCATTTGGCTAAACAGATTCGCCTTGCTGAGGCCGTCCCCTGCGCTCTGCATATTTCGCACAGCTATGGAACCGTGCTCAAAGACAACGCTGTCGGCACTGAGGAACTTCTTCAAACCTGGAAAGGGCAGACGCCGAAGAATTGGATAAACCCATGACAGTTCGGCTCGGATGCCGCTCACAAGAAGCGCGGACTGGACTGCATCAATGTAGGGAGTTTGCTAGAGTCGGTTAGTCGAGCTCGAGGCCTGTTACACTCAGACAGGATGGCGTAGTTACCTTGCCCAGCTCCAGCATTCGAAATGATTCTCCAAATGAAAGATGAGCGATCACATCTGTCGCCATAAGAGTCCACCACTTAAACACATCCGCCCCAGTACTTTGAGCATCTCGCTTGATGTTGCTCACTGCAAGCTCAGTCTTGTGTCGGATTTCCGACTCCCAATTGGCTAATAACGAGCTGACACTGAAAGCACGAGCAAACAATCGTCTTCTAGCAGCATGCTGATGAGGATCTCTCATGTCAAAGATGCCCGGTTCTCGGTCCGGAACCACGCCATCGTACCAGGCAGACTTGAGAAAGCCAGAACCAATCTTGTGAATTTTGGAGAACGCTTCCAGGTCGCTTACTGCAACCTCACCTGGCGAAACGCGGACGACTGGCCCATAGCGCTGGTGCAGTAAGTGAATGTAATGAACGCGGTTGCCAGCGAGAATCTGCCGTTTGAGGACGAGGTGAGTGAAATGAGTGTACCAGGGCCCAGGTAAGCCGCGGAGAGGAGACTTGAAGGCGTTGACCAAGGCATAGAGGACTGTGCCGACGAGAAAGACGCCGGCCAATAATGGTAAACTGAGATGATTCGCGATATACATAGCTGCGTTGGTCCTCGAAGAGATAAGTCTAGGTTCCCATCGACCCGTTGGAGGTGTCAACCTCTTATAGCTCCGGCATTTATGAAGATCTCCCCGTGGGGCCCTGGGGCCTAGTGTCGCGGGGTATCATCCGAAATGGGGCATCGGAATCAACGGGCTAGGAGTATCGGTATAGTGGGGGTCACTTAGCCGACGGACTTCTTCAAAATACCGAAGCGGCCGAGACGGGCCCGTCAGTCGCTCCGGAAAGCCATTGTCGTGATTGGATATCTATCTCCAGAGTTATTTCCATTACCCCAGAGGACCTTGCACTAGTGGTGTTCTGGTTGGATGAATTGAGGGGAACAGAACCAAGGTTCGGACCCCTCTGTCCACAACCCGATGGCCCGAATCTCTCAGCTCAATCCGGTCAAGCTGATGAGAAGTCCAGTCTTTAAACGATGGTGTTTGCCAGAACTTATGGTGAAGATTCTCAAAATCTGCCCAGCTTTCTTATAAACAAAACATTCTCCATGATATATTCCAGCCACCAAGGCCGCATTCGTAACCAGTGACCCCATTCTCAGTGCCTATTCACCATTAGTTCGTGGAATCTTTCTGGAGAGGCTTATATTGTGAAAAAGTACGTCTTGTCCTCGTCATGTGCTTTAGCCGCCTAAGTAACCTAATAGCCAGCAATCACCTATGCAGTAGCCATGAGTTTGCGAAGCGCATCAGCAACCTCTTGAACAGAACTGTAGTCCAGTTTCCAAAGTCCCCGGATGATGTGTTGCGCCGGATTGTCCTCACTTACATGTGGATACTCCCCACGCATTAGCTTCTCCTGCAATTCCTCGATTTCAACATTGCCATACGGTACTTCCCACTCAGTGATCTCACAGATACCAGTGCCCAGTGCAAACAATTCCTTCTCAAACGTGCTTCTTCCTGGGCAAGGGGGATCTGTAGTAGGGATGCAGTAGCGAGGCTCACAGGCAAAGAGCAGGTCTGGATATACATCGCATAGACTGGAGCCGGCAAAGTCGCTGAGTTTGATGTGGTGGTCATCAAAGAGAAGGATGCTCTGTGTCGAGATGTCACCCCATATCACGCCTCGGCTATGCACATACTGCAGGGTGTCCGCAAGATCCAATGCAATCCTCAACCGCTGGGCCATAGGCAGTGCATCGCCCTGAAGGATGCGCTGACGGAGGCTGCCGTGAGGGGCTCTCTCAAGTTTCAAGGCCCAGGCTTCTCTCTCTCCCCGGGCTACACCCATGGGCTCTGATTCTTCGCCTTTGGCAGCGGGGAGGTATGCAACACCAAATGATTTAAGAGTATTTGCGTGCGGGCCTAAGGCATCGCATATGGCGGCTTCGCGTTTGAAGGTCTCGCTTGTATCTTCAGCACAAGCTGCGTGGTCATATATCTCCCCGTCTAACCAGAAGCCAGTGGCTTTTATTGCAACTTGAGGCTCGGATTTGTCGGCGTAAATGATGCTGAGAGCGGTCCGCCCCAAGGGCTCGAGTCTTGCTCGAATGGCTGGGCCAGCTTCCCGATCACTCATTCGCATGGTGGCTAGGATAGAACAGGGAATCGGAAAAACAAATTGCTTGGGCCGACTCAAAATGAAACTAAAGGACTGGGAAATGAACTTTCTTCAATACGATAACAACGAAGAGAGACCGTTGTCAGTATAGGCTCAGTTATCGTCGCATGTCTAAATAGCAAGCGACAGGAATAATATACTGATTTGCTTCGTGACAGTGTTAGTGGGGAGATGCATCACCGGCCGGAATATCTCTTTGCCGGTTACTACCTTTTACAAACATATATGGTAAGGTGGTCAGATTGCGGAACTTGAATAACACGACTTGATCTCACTTGGCCATGAAATAGTTAGAGCTTATGGCTGCTTAGCCTTCCGGCCCAGATACATTCTCAACCATGTAGCCGCCAGGCTGTCACAATCAGTAACCCCAGATCCTCACAACTTATACAAGATCACGTTGAAGAACGTGAATGCCATCCTTCTTGCCAATAGTTTTGAGCTTCTTGGAGTCCTTCTTGTATACCAAATCCAAGAATCCAACCATAATGTCATTGGCCGCCTTCTCAACCTTCCTTCCACTAAGCGTTCCAAATACCTCATGGACCATGGCTTCCGACTTGGCCGGAATCTCAAACTCTGTCAGAAGTAACGGAACATCTGTAAAGGCGTAGTGACGCGTGTGCTTCACCACCATCTCCATCTTGGCAGCATCGATCTTGTCGTAAAATGCATTCCAACCGGGAACTGGATCAGGCGCTGTCGTGTTTGTCCCAACCAGTATGTACGGCGTGCGCTTTAGCCCGTCTTCAACTACAGATCCATACATGGGACCGTCAAAGTTGAGACCTCCAATGACACGGCGATCGCGCTGGGCTGTGACGGCGGCAGTTGATCCACCAAAGGAGTGACCGTACACGGCAACTTTGTGAGGGTCAAAGGTACCAGGGAAGTTGCCGAAGACCTGCTCCACGAGCGTGTGGTTGCAGAGTTGCGAGATTACAAAGGACTCATCTTTGTTTCGGACCTAATCACAAAGTTATTATTGTCCTTCAGGCGCGGCATTTAACCCCGGAGCTTACCTCGAGCTGTCGATACGTCGAGTTCATGTTATCCGGAAACTCAGCAGCAGGCGCGGCAGTCCCATCAGGGAACTCAACCACAAAGGCTTCATAGGTGTGATCCACCGTAAGAATGATATACCCAAGACTTGCAAGCGACCTCGCCATGGCCCCATACACAAGCCTTGAACCTTGGTAACCTGGTGAGAAAAGCGCGACGGGGTATTCCTTCTTTGGCTTATGAAACCTCTTTGGCTTGACACTTGAGATATTGCAGACCTTCATCTCGAAATCCTTGACTATGTTGTCGGGTAGGCCAAGCGTTCCGGCCACCTTGCCATAGGCCTCTGCAGTAAGGGCAGGCACATATGGAACAACTTCATCTTTACAGCCGTATTGGGCGTCGATGGGGAGGTAGGCCGAGACCATGGTACGGCGCTTGGTGTTGGGCTTGGGTGCAAATGTGTCGATACGGTTTGTATCGACCAGCTCGAAACTTTTCACGGCGACATCAAAGGGGCCTGGGGGAGACGGGACAAGCAAGGCCTGTGAAGCCTTGAGAAAGGTAAGAAGGGCAAGAAGATGCATGTTTTGTATTGATGAATTGAAGATATTGTTAAATATCAAGATAAGAGAAGTCAAACAATCGCGGCTACTACTTCGATATTTATACGGCACGCAGTCATGATCCAAGTTTAATGTTATAGGTAAAGCTAAAGACCGATTTCGGTTCTGCAGTGCGCTTAATCTAAAATAAAGACATTTGAGCCGCGACGTATAGCTAAGCCACAACTGAAACCTGCAATCAAGTTACATTGAAATCCTTTGAATCATCAAAAGCTATCGTGTAGTACTTCAATGACCAAATATTCAAGACCGAGCAATTTAAAAAAGGCCCATGTTTGCAGATCCTGCTCGGTCTTTGAGTTTAGGGTAATATAGCGTGATCCTTATCGATAGCGAAACAGGGGCAAAGACCGAGTTACGACAATTAACCAATAACCACTCATCCACTGGAGTAAGCCTACTTTCCCCTTTCAGTACTTACGTACTGCTCAGCTTGTCTGAGCCCCCCAGTGCCACGTTTACGACAGACGAATGATGACATCACGAGCCGAATAGCCGTTGTGAATTTCTATCAGGCATTTGCTCGTATTCTGTCACGGTTTTCGCAACGCATAAGCACGGCGGAACTCGTTGCGCCCTGTGGACACCGCCCTCTGGCTCTGAGTGGTCTATTCGGGCTTGGCAGCAATAAAGCCATCTTAAATCCAAGCGATCCAGTCAATGTAAACACCTCAAGTCACGACCTTGCCTGGAATGAGACACGACAGTGATTTCAATGATCACAGGGCGTAGCAAAATTTCCATGCTCCGTTGACACTTTGCATTGTTCTGGTAATAATAACGCGAAACAACAGCAGTCCACCAGTAGCGAGGACTGCCAAGAGCGCCTCACCGTCATGAGCCTCGGCGGATTTTCAGCTTCGGAAAAGATCGTGAATTGAACAGAAAAAGTCATAAGTAGAGTATAAAACTGCATATTAGATCGTGAATCTGTAACCCAAAGTCCAAAAGCATCTTTCTACTCCCAATCAACATGCCTCTCCCCAATGAACCTGTCAAAGTCACCGGTGGCTGCTCTTGCGGCGCCGTCCGTTATCGTATTGATGTCCCTGCATTGGAAGACCGTCCATTGAACCCTTTCGCCCCTCCGGCCTTTGGTATCAAACTTCCCGGTGCTATAACATGCCACTGCAACGACTGCCGTAGATCGACCGGCTCGTTTCTTGCAGTTGGCATACTTGACGTCCCGGCTCCTATGCTCACAGTATCCGCCATGTCGCCCTCATCTGAATCAAATATCGTCTCTGGTCGAATCCTAGATGTACTTGCAGATGACTATGACTCTGCAAAAGCAGACGCGGATCGTCCCCCATACATCCCAGCCATGAATATCCTCCGCGCAACAGGAGAGACCAAAACTTGGTTGCGCTTCTTTCATTCGTCTAAATGCAGCCCCGATGTATCCCGCAGCTTCTGTGGTCGTTGCGGAACGCAGCTGTGCTTCCACTTCAAACTGGAGCCAGAATATTGCGCTGATGGAAATTTACCCGAGGGATGGCGGGACTCTTTCCATTTGTACCTTGGAACTCTGGATCGCGAGTTTCTCGAGAAGGATTGGTTCAACCCTGACAGTGAAGGAATGTTCAAGTATGGAACACCTCTCAGTCGATGTGTTTCTGCGACGGCCAAGGGTTTGAAGGACTTGCCCAAGATGCAGGAGTTTGATGGTCAGGTTACTGAAGAAGAGTTGGCAACTTTGAGATCTCAGTAGGGCAGTGAAAATAATTTCAACTATCTTGCCCGTAAAGTTAATCCCTATATGAGGCACATGCCAGATACCGTGACACGACGACCAACAGGGATCTGTACCCAGGATTGACCAAGCCTTTTCGCTCCCGACGCTTGCTAATTACTTAATTCAATCGGCTAGATCACAGCGTATAGTATTCCTGGACAGATCTCATTACAAAGCAGGACACAATAATACATTATCTTGCATTCAAACGATCTTATTGGCAAGGTGTGCTTTTTACTCCGCGATTTGTCTAATGAAGGCAAAAGAAAATAAAATAAAATAGCAAAACGGTAAAAGCCTAAATAATTCGTTTCGTTGTCAGGCAATTTATCCTTCAGCAGCTTTGTAATGCTATATATCGCGATTAACTATAACTGCCTACATCAATTATCTGTATAATTAAATAGAAAAATAGACATAATAAGTACTCTGATGGGTTACTAATATGAAATAACTCTAAGTGAAAAGAATATTTTTAACTGCGCTTATTAGCGTTTGCTATGTCCTAAAAGTCGGTTTATAAATCCTTTCTCTGGTTTAGATTCGAAACAGTTGATAAGAATTCTCCCATAGGCCTTTTCCCATTCATCCACTGGTAGTTCTGCCGTCTGCTTTAGCGCACAGTTCAAACAGATGCTACCACTGCATAGAAATGTGGGATTGTCGCCACTAAGTGCAAGAGTAATGTTGAACTTGATAGATGAGTCCAGCACGTGAGTAACGCGGATGGGCTTCGCCATTTTGCTGGAAATCTTCTTTGCCTTGGACCTAGTCGTCCTCGTGCTCTCGGATGGCACAGCTCCCTCAGCCAACTTCGGTACCGGTACACCCCATCTTCCCAGGGCCTCATCAAATCGATAGAGCTCAACAGAAAGACCACGAGGTATTGTGCCGGCTCTGTTAGGGGAGTGGTTACATCTCAGGTGGTGTATACCACGAGCTAGTTTGAGGATTGCCCGGCTCGGATCAATCATGCGAGAGTGGGATTCAGAAGATACTCTCATCAAGAGCTTGTATCTTGTACTTGCTACAGACATGAGCATGAAATCATGGCGTACGCTGCACTTGTCTGCTGTAAGCTGGATCTCTGAACCTCCATCCCGTACAGGCATCTTGAATAGATTTTCATAGTCACTGACATCTTCGGTATGTTGCGTTTCAATAACTGAGGTATCTCGTGCGATTGCCTGAAATCGCACATTTTCGGTTGTTTGGATAGGGATTCCGAGGCGGCCCTGGACGACTTCCAATCGAAAGCATCTGCGCAAGTTGAGCCTTTCTGTGAGGTCAATCCATGGTGCGACGACAGCAATATCGCCATGCTGTACAGCGATTATGGTAGTCCCCAGGTGTTGCATGAAAGGATGGGGAATATCAATGGGGGAATCATTGTAGGTTGCGTCGGTCAACTTGTCCAGAGGCGGACAGCCAAGAAAGTTCTGGCAAACTGTAGAAAGAACAGTGTGCCACTGCAAGTTACCCTCGAGGTTGCTTGGGTCAAAGACACAGTCATCGATAGCGTCAAGAAGAATTTCCATTGCGCCAGAGTCGCCTGCTGTGGCTGCGCTGCATCCCGAGATATCTGGCGCTCCGAAGGCGTCGGCTACCCCATGGGCGAAATACAGCATGGTCTCCATAAAAGCAGTGTATCTGAGGCAGTGCTCGTCCCAGATAAATGCCGGATCATCTTTCGCGCAGTTGCCGCACTTGCATGATAGTTTCGCTTGATCGATTAGATCTTGTAGAATGGGAAAATATCGAAGCAAGATCAAGGGCTTCTCTTCAAAGACTGTATTGTCAATTTGTCCCCTCGATAACTCTGAGGCGTTGTCCATATCCATGATATCAGAGAAGGCTTCTCTTTCTGGGGATGCTGACTCCCCGGGGGGAGAGAATACCACAAAGTTTCTCCCAAGCTCGCCACACGTGTTGACAAGTAGTTGTGGTGTTCTTCCCAGCAAATCTGCCACTCGCTCGATCGGCCTGTCTCCGGCATCATCCGGTGCTAGTAAGACCTTGAAGCTAAGTCTTGAACCCATGGATTCTTTCTTGATGGGCAGCGAGCAAAACCATCTTAGTAACTCCTGACCGGTTCGAAGTGACTGGATTTCCATTCTTTTTCGACATCCTTGTGGATATCTAAATGGGCTCTCATACAGTTTTGTTCTGACCCGAGGCTCCGACCCCAGTGTCTGAATATTGTCGTATTCGCCTGTAAAGAGTGATCTTAGATCGCCCGCTACGTTCTCCATCACTTCGAAACTATTGGCTTGGCTGTGTTCGATTGGACAACACCCTTGCCCAGCCTCGTCCATGGAACAGAATCTCTTGACACGAAGTTCCACAGTGCTGTCTGCCTGGCCGAGTGTTCTGTCATAAATAACGCTGCCACTAACCACAACACGCAGCCGACCGCTAAAATGCCAGGTGAGCCACAGCGTAAGATTTGTGAGTAGGAGTTCACTGTGGAGAATTATTTCTCTTGGTGGGTTGCAGAGTTTACTTAGAACAACTGCCAGCTTGTAGCTTGCGATATTATGCCCACGTTTGCAGGCCCACTTCAGCTCTGTGGGCAGACGCGGGCATTCTGTATCAGATCCAATGATTCCCGAGTTGGCGATATGAAGCCAGTTGCTATCGATTACCTTTGAGACTATCTCTTCAAGCTGGAGCATTTCGGGATGGTAGGCCAGTTCATACTCGGTCAGCAGCTTTTGTCCAGGTCGCGAGGCGAGGATGATGAGTGACGATACTGTCATTTTGATGAATCGCTCATCATGGTAGCGGAAAAGACAACAAATAGTCGAGGTGAGCCATCGTTGGAAAGGATCTCCAGCAATAAGTCGCCCAAGAGCACCTGAGGGCTGTGCCCATAGTGGTACGACTGATGGCCTCGGTCTTCGATCGCTGACTGCATCAAAGAAACCGCCAACTTCTCTTTGTTCATTGGGGCGAACAAGTGCTCTCGTCGACTTGAGAAATTTCGTGAGCTCCATCTCATCAAGCCCTTCTTTCCCAAGCCAGTACCCAACTTCCTTGAGGATCAAAGAGTAACCTTCAGCACGGTTGGAAACCTGAGTGAGAACTGTTATGAGATCAATGCCTCTAGCCGTGATATCCATGCCTTTAGCGACCAGGTCAAGGTTTGAACTCATACTGTAATTGTAGAGAAAAAGCTTTCGTATAAAGAGGGTTGATTAAAAGAAGTTGGGTTTGCAAATATCAGGCTTCGAAGACCTGATTCAGATAAGAGCTGAAAGCGCAAGTCGTGATGTGGCTGCTTATCCAAGAACAACTATCCAATCAATTACGCCACCATCATATGACGGGTTTCAACCCCCTCATTTACTAAAACTAGAGTACAAATCGAAGTTGGATAAACACCATTTGCCGGTTTATTTAAATACAGAACTTATATTTAAAGGCTCTAAAACAAAACTGTAAGATAACCCTAAAATATTTCTAACTAAAATTAAAACCAAGCTCTTAAGAGGATAGAAACATAAGACAGGGGAAAATACTTCTTACAAGTCTAGTTATATTAATAGAGATCGTGATGGCTACAGAGCCCGTGGTCAGCATAACCATGCATCATGCTTGGCTTCTGAAAAGGCACAGGCTCCCATAAAGACGTTGCCATCGTCCACTGGCTGAGAGACAGGTGTACTCATGAAGTCAAGACGCATACGCAACCAGATATTCACCTTGGGCGCGGGGCGGAAACTTGATCTGTAGAATAGCATATCTGGCTGCGCCTTATAGTCCCTGTTATTTAAAATACAACTATAGGTTAATGAAATAACTGTTATTATAAGATATAATCTAGCAAGGGTTTAATAGTCATTTTACTAACACAGAGCTGGCGGTTTTAATATCTTAATAAGGCGGTAAAAGATGTAAGAACTGGCTTAAAACTTTGAAAAGTCAATAGAATTATCAGAAGACGTTACAAGAACTAGTTTCAAGTGTGGAGATTTACATAGAGCCCGTTAGCTTTCCTTATGTTCTACCTGAACTACACCCGCCTTCTCGTTCGCGTCCATTCGACCCACGTAATTATCCGTATCTGCCTGCTGTAGATCTGTGACATAGCGTTTGAACTTCCATGCCGATATCCTCTTCTCAAACAGCTCATCTAGCTGCTCCAAGCTTCGGCCTTTAGTTTCCGGAATGAAGAAGTATGTAAAGACAGCCAAGATGAAGTTACTACCAGCCCAGATATAACAATACTTGGGACCCCAGTTGAGTGCCTCAGGGTTGATGAAGTACGGCGTACAATACGAGCACAACCATGAAGCCAAGAAGCTTGTACCCTGGGAAAAGCCTACTGTCTGTGCTCTCAGTCGCTGAGAAGGTATTTCAGTCTGCAGGGCCCATAGTACAGGACCTTGGCCAATACCATAAACCCAGGTGAAGACGATACTTAACCCAACAAGAACCTTCCCAGCAGTTGGTGACCCCGCGGGAGAAACGGTGTAGGCGACTGCCATACCCAGCATCAAACCTGAGTTGAGAAGGGAGGTACCAAGGAGAAGATGTCGACGGTTGAAAAAGCGCACAGCGGGGAAAGAGAGCATATTTCCCGTAAGGGCGATGGCGAGAGATACCATGACCCACTTGAAAGGTGAACCAATTCGTGCCTGAACAAAGAAGAAGACTGAGAAGGCCGAGATGAAGTAGATACCAGTACTAGCCTGGCCAACGGCTGTCGCAATGCTGAGAAGAGTGCGTCGCAAGTCGGTGCCACGGAAAGCGTCAAGCAGCTGAGTAGTGGAACGCATCTCAGTCTCTTCCAGCCAAGCATTCTTCATAATCATGATGTCCTCACGAATTCTTTCATCATCGGTTATACCCCGCAGCTTTCGAACTGCAGCCTCGGCCTTATCGTCCTGACCCTTGGAGATGTAATAGCGAGGAGTCTCTGGTAGGAATATCAGTCCTACGGACATCATGACTGGAACAACAAACATGACCGCAAGAGGTATCTGGTATGACAGGCGACTGAGCATGCCCTGAGTTCCGTTGTCGACGGCAATACCGACAAGAGCACCAATATTAATCTGCAAGACGACCAAGCCAATAGCCGCACCTCGAAGATACGCTGGTGTCGACTCTCCGATATAGACCGCTGAAAAGGTACTGTAGAAGCCGTTGGAGAATCCAAGCATGATACGACCGAAGTACAATGCGGCGAGATGCGTGCTTCCCATTTGTGCAGCGACTGAGACTACGCCAAAAAGCGAAGCGATCCAGAGACCAACTCGAGGGCTGATGAAACGACCAAAGTTGAAGATAAGGATGCATGCTGCCAGGGCACCAAGACTGATAAGGCTCTGTAGGAGAGTTTGGACTTTGGTGGTGATGTTGTAACCGATTGGGTTTGTGGGCTGTTCAGAGATATGGTCAGAGTCATGCGTTCATTTGAGTGTAGGGGAACTGGCTGCAGAATAATACACGTACATCAACATAGCCGAAGACGATGAGAAAGCCCGGCATGGATTGGAAGCCAGAAACGGCAGCTGAGTCAAACCCGTATTGGAACTGAGCCAAGGCAATGAAGAAGCAAATGGCGATCAATCGCTTCTCGCTCCATAGCGAATTGAGTCGACCTCTAGCAGAGGTTTGACTCTCCATGTTGAAGGTGTATTTTCTGTTTTCCAGCTACTAGGCGATAAAGTTGGATGAGAGAAGGGACTTAGATTGTCCTTGCATCGGAAGTGGAGAGGAAGGATCAGCGATATATCCTTTTATCAGCATCGCACATGTTCTGGGCCCTGTTAGACGCGTCGCATCGCTTCCCCAGATCTTACCCCGCGATCTAACACTCGGCACGATAACAAATTTTGGCTTGGGTTAGCGTTAAGCGATGCATTCCCCAGCTTTACAAAGCTATTGGTAAATTTAGTGCCATCGGCGGTATGCATCCGACAGAGCAACAACAGCCGAACTATCGAGGCTGATAATCTCCCCCCTCACTGGAGGCTGACAGCCACTCCCGATATAGCTAGCCTGCAGGTATAAGACAGCGTTGAGATCCAATGGGCTTCAGCAGGTACCTCTTAGCAGACTGCTATTGTTTACTGTACATTGAGTTCCCTGTTCTACTGCAAATCTATCTGAAGCGTCGCTAGAGTAGCGAAATACTGCCAGCATGGATACCGAAAGTGTCATGAAACAGCTCAAAGCTATGGAGGCAAAGATTGAAAAGCTCACAGGTAATCATCACCTTTATAAGTCATTTGCTTTGACTAACCTTACGTGCTGCAGCTGAGGCGGATGTACGAAAACTGCAGCATATCTACGGATATTACCTTGACAAATGTCTTTACAAAGAGGTATGCACCGCCTCCAACCAATGTGATCCCAGTAAACACATCACTAACACGATAAGGTGGTGGATCTGTTCTCAGACTCGCCAGATGCATACGTGCAGTTCCTAAATGGACGCTTCAGAGGCAAAGACTCCATCCGTCGGCTTTTCATCGACAGATGGTCCAATTACTTCGTCGGTGGCCGCAACGGCCCCATCCACGGCTGGCTTCTAGACCACTTCATCGGCCAAGACGTCGTAGACTTCCAGCCCGGAACAAACATCGCCAAATACCGCGGCAGAACCCTCATGAGCGCCGGCACCCACAAGACCCTATCCCCCGAATACCCCGGCGGTCAGCGTCAGTGGTGGGAGGGCGGTGTCTACGAGAACGAGTACATCAAAGAAGACGGGGTCTGGAAGATCTTCCGTCTGCGGTACCACCCCTTCTGGCACGGGAGTGTTGAGCAGGGCTGGCAGAATGCAGATCGGTTTGTGCCCTTGTTTAAGGAGACGTACCCGGCGAATCAGCAGGGCCCTGATGACTTGTGGGAGGGGGCGGATCTGTGGCCTGATACTAGGGTTGTGCCGTTTCATTACGTGCATCCTGTTACGGGGAGGCAGGTGGCGGAGGAGGATTTGCAGGCGCCCAAGTGGAGGGAGCCAGCGAGTAGTGCTCCGCCCGCAAGAGTTATTGACGACTGGACTGTTTGATATACATGCGTTGTGCACATGATGGCTATAGTAGTAGAAAATATTACACTTCATTGGCCACCTTTGTGCAATCACATGTCTCACGCAATGAGTGAGGAATCAAGCCCCGATTTAGTAGCCATAGCATTTACATTATAAGCAAGTTCACGGTCACCGATCCTCGAGCAAAAGGGCATACAGCTGTTTGACTTGCTTCACACGTACCTCGTCAGATCTATGAAGGAAAACATATCTCTCGACTTGGAAGACCTTATCGCCATTTCATCTTGGTCAGAAGCTACCGAAGCGAGGATTCGGTGGCTTGAATAGCGACAAACAGAGCCAGGTCTGGAAGCCTACAGTCCGGAGACGAAGGAGGGGGCTGGGACTCGTGATCTCGGCTTCATGGTCATCGGAGGCATGGCTCCGAACTGCAATGGCCAGCCACATCATTTCGCGGGACAAGGGTAGATGACGCGGGGAAGAGGTATGAGACAACCAGTAGGACTTTGACCCGGCACTGATCGGTAGAGAGCCCCCGGGTGGTAGAAAGCGGTCGACTGATGTTACACTGACTTGCCGATCACTCGTGGTACCTCCCATTGCTACTGAGATGGAATAGGGTAAACAACATGGGAGGGAGGAATCTCAATAGTCATATCATATTTGGTCCCAATAACTCGATGCAATTGACAATAATCATCGATTCGTGACACTTCTCAACCATGAAGTCCATGTCGCTCTATGTGTTGCTAGCCTTTTGTTTGACTCTGGGCTGGTTCATTTTGACCCTTGTCAATGTCATTCGTTGCCCCTTGAAACGAGTGCCTGGACCGTTTCTTGCACGATTCACAAGACTATGGCTTCTGAAGCAGGTGTACTTTGGGACATACCCCAAGACCAGTATCGAACTCCATAGGAAGTATGGTCAGTTGGCTCATTGGAGGCGTCTACTCAATCTGACAGTCAGACCAGGGCCCATTGTACGCATTGCACCGAATGAGTACAGTATCGACGATCCTGCAGCAGCCAAGATAATCTATGGCAGTGGTCGAGGATTCACAAAGGTCCGTCACGAAATGGCATGATACTATCAGAAACATAGCTAACAAGCTTGAATAGTCTCCCTGGTATTATGCCAGCGGCAATCCCATCAGCCCACTCCCCAACATCTTCGCCGAGCCGAATCCTCATATCCATGCCCAGGCTAGACGAAAGGTCGCAGCTGCGTACTCGATGACCAACTTAGTCCAACTCGAGCCTTTCATCGACAAATGCTCCGCTGTTTTTCGGGACCGATTAGAAGAGTTTGCTCGGTCTGGTGCCTCCGTGGAGATATCCCACTGGATGCAGTGTTATGCTTTCGATGTAATAGGCATGATGACGGTGAGATACGCAGCAGTTGTTAGCTAGGATACAGTTGACTAAGTCTGGTAGCTCGGAAAACGATTTGGCTTCTTAGATTCCGGCGAGGATATACAAGGAATCATGTCGTCTCTGAGCCAGTACCTGGTTTACTGTGCCAATGTAGGGGTATTCCCAGAGTGGCACAAGGCTCTTTTTCGCAGGCAAATGCGTTCAAAGACTGTATCTGGTTTGACACATGTCCGAGAATTCGCCAATGCGCAACTCGAAGAAAAGCGCGAGAAGGTCAAGGCAGATGAAGAAGCCGATGGCCATGCAGCAGAGGACTTCATCACCAAGTTCTTGCGTATTCAGACTCAAGATCCGGCAAAGGTTACTAACGCTGACATTAGCTCAGTATGTACCATGAATATTGGTGCTGGTTCTGACACAACATCCATCAGTTTGACTTCAATCATCTTCAACTTGATCAAGCACCCGAGAGTTCTCGAACGACTCCGTGCTGAGATCAAAGAGCATGAGACTCAAGGCACAATATCGGATCCAATCAAGTTCGCTGAAGCCAACCGACTTCCCTATCTCCAAGCTGTCATCAAAGAAGGCCTACGGATGCATCCTGCCACTGGGCTGAGTCTGGGCCTAGTCGTTCCACAAGATGGTGCAATCTTGGTAGGGCAATACTTTCCTCCAGGAGTATGTATTTTCTTTGTGTGGATGTACAATTTGTGAAGTGAACTAACTCTGATAGACTGTCGTCGGTATAAATGCATGGGTAGCCCATGCCAACACCAAGGTGTTTGGTCATGACGCCCGTGTATTTCGGCCCGAGAGGTGGCTCGATTACCCAGAACTGGTCAAAGAACGCGAAGCATATTTTATGACTGTAGGTGTATATTTCAGCCCATCTTGCGGCAACATAGTCTAACACTTCCCCTCAAAAGTTTGGCCTAGGCTCTCGCACATGTCTGGGCAAGAACATCAGCCTTATGGAGCTTTCCAAAGCTGTTCCACAAATAGTTCGGCACTTTGAGTTTGTTCCAGACACAAAGTCCGGAGAACCCGAGTACGTGACGGAGAATGTTTGGTTTGTCAAGATTAGGGAGTTCCATTGTAAGGTCTACAGTAGACATGGGCAGTGATATTACAATGGGTATCCTTGGAAAGCAGTGTGCCAACCACGTCATGGTCATGATGGCCCAAAAGGAAAGATTGATGAGATATCCATGAGATTATCCAGAAATCCATTGTCGACAACTATATCTGCCATGTCGAGCTCATTCAACCATGTCATCGCTAGTTGATCCGTGCTATGATCAAGAGAAATCCTGCGCACCCATTAATAAAACTCGATGGGAGTTTGGTAGACTACTACGTACCGTTGCATAGGTTCAGTCACCATCTGGGGATATCCTAAAGGTTCAGAGGGTTGTAAAGTGATGTTCGACGTTTCCTCGACACCTTCGGCAAGTCCACACTGCTGTAGCTGGAATAATGTCTCCGGGATAAGATGCTTCGGATAACCAGATACGCTGATAGCCAGGAGGATTCGCAGACACTGCTTCGCACGAGCTTGATGTCCATCCATGTGATATAGCCCGCAAGCAGCGACGATGACTTGAAGTGCCTGCAAGGCGAAGAGATAATCGGCCATGACCAGGCTGGAGGCGACTTTGTGAAGAACCATGGTTTCCAAAATCTCAAACGTTGATTCAGCGGCAGACACACAGGTCTTGGCAAGTGTAGCGAATATCGGCCGTTTGGCTGACTCAACATGCTCAATGCCCTGTAGTAGATTGCATAGAAGGAAGGGCTTGGTCACGAGCATCATGGCGCTCCAGTAGCGAAGGTGGAGAAGGGATACGGACCTTCTGTAGGATAGCGATATTGAGGGTGAGAGATGGAGATGTGGCGGTACGTGATCTAGCCAGCTCTGCAGAGCGGCCATGGCGTCATTAAAGTGAGTGTTCGATAGCTTTTGTCCACCGTGAACAGGTCCATCGTAGAGATTCTGGCGTATACTTTGCGTTATCTGAGCGAGACGTATACACTGTTCGAGATATCCGTTCGGCGTGTGTGAGCCTGGGCTGACAACCTGGTGGCGTATTAGCGAGAGATCAGGGGTTGGCTTACACTGAGCACGTACAAACTCGGATGGCAGAGGGGGTTTCCAAGAAGTCTCGTTCGGTGGGCTATTCATGCCTGGCTTCCCTAGGGCGAGAGAGAGATCTTGATCAACGAGGTACAATGTCCACCAGAGACGTCTCGCGTGAGCTTGGCTTACAACGCCACTCTTTGTGGAGTACTTGTCAAGATGCAGACCCAGAGAGAAAGCGATGCGAACTGCGAGACCGATGTGAAGGTATGCCGAATTCGTAAAACCGTTGGAGTGGAAGGCCAACGACTGCAAGATCCGTGTCAGTGGTGATGTCAACAACCCTCGAGCAGAGGGACTCACCAGCACTATCAACGCCCGTATACTATCCAGGTCTGCTTCATCACATACCCTCGTCACGAGCGACTTGGCCATCTCCAGTGAGTCATGCGCCCGTTGCCCATTGACCAACCCATTGGGCGACGGCTCACACGAGGCGCAAAGAGCCACTATACTATGTAGCGAACAAAGCCACGACGCAGTTATCTGTCCAACATCACCAGAGTGAGTCGTCTCAAGTCGAGTATAGAATGACTCTGCCGAGTATATCCAGTACAAGCAGTGGACCTGCTCAAAGAAGCGAGCTGCGCAAGCGGACAGCAGATCTTGCGATGGAAACTGGCAAGGATTCCCAGGTGACGATGCTGCATCCGTCAGGGGAGACTTGACCGATGGCGGACTGACTTTGAGCATCCCAGGTATCTTGTCCCTGTCCTTCTCTTTGCTTCTTGCCCCAGCGCCCATTCTGAGCATCCATGACCTCACGGCGCTGTTGAAGCTAGCGCCTGACTCTGCTCCCATATAGCCTGTACAAATCAGTACATCGAACACGGCGAATAGTAATAGAGACACGCACGATACTCCCCGTGTGCATCGGCCAGTAGACAACCCAGGTCATGATGAAGATTGACGATCTCTGGCAGCAATATCTCCCCTTCCTCAGTCTGGGCCTCTTCTACATCGTGCAGCAAGACCTCACCTTGATCTATCGCTTCATCTCCACAGTCTAGGATAGAAGTTTCTGCCGATACTTCAATAAGAGACATGGTAGGTGTTGAGACATATGTCTGTGTCTTAAACGCGGGCTTTTTGTTCTCGTCGATCAATCGTCGCAGATTCGGTATCGTCAACTCCTCATCTGGGAAGCAATTACTGCAAAGTTCACGCAGGAGGCGATATTCCTCCTCCGAGACAAAGTAGAAGGGCTTCTGGCGCCGTTTCTCCATGTCCACCGAGCAAACCTCATCGATGCTGCGGCAGTAATCACATGGGCCATCGGCATCTCCACTCAGCGTCAGTCTTGTTGCGTTTGGCGATTTGAAGCCTACGTACCAGGTTTATTGCACTTGGGAAAAAGTTAGTAAGACGCACATTGTGATAGGCTCGGCAACACTTACCTTTGTCTTCCTTGACTTGCAGCGATCGCAGCTGATCGCCGTCCGACTCACCCTCGATTTCTTGGTGACTTTGGAGCTTCGGGTCGACATAGCGTCGTACAGTATAGTAGCCTGGCTACAGGACAATGAGAAAAGGTAGATACTATCAAGGACGATCGCGGTTTGGGAGAGAGGAGGTTCGCCGGGGGAGCTGATTGTCTCCACTACCCCAGAATCTAGATCGCCAATGTGTGCTGGCTGATCGCTTAGGCTTAATTGGGCCCCCTATCAACTGACCAGGGCTTCCCCGCACCTGGGCCTTGGGGCTATCCTACCAACTGGACTTCAATTCACTAGCGATGCCATAACCAATACAGATTGTCGCTTTGGGTATGGCCAAAGGATGCGGGGAAGGCTGAGCTCGGCATAAAAGAGCGGCAATTGCATGCCATTCACCAATTTCAACTTACTCAAACATTGAGAAGAGCCGCCCTGTAAGCGCCAGGAGGGTCTACATACAACCGCTTTCGTAAGCAGATAAATATTCCCATCTACCATTATACTCAATCTTTTATTCTATGACTTCCATGTAAGCGGTAGATCTCATGTCTATTAATCGGACTTGTTGCTACCATTGTCGGTCCTCGCCTCAGGCTCAAAGTAAGGTCTCAATAGCTCATACGACTGACCAAACTGGTACTCCTTCGCCCACTCCCAAGGCGTCTGTTTCTCGGTCTCATCCGGTTCATAATGCCTCATCAAGCTCGCCAGAATTGCTTCGTGACCTTCCTCAGCAGCGACCGTGATGGCATCCCATATATGCTCTTGTCGGACACTCCTTGACGAGTAGCTCGCCTCCAGGAATAGCTCGACAGTCAGGTGACGATCTTGCCTAGCAGCGATGACAAGAGGCCGTTCATCCGACCAGCAATCCATAAAGACGTCCGCGCCGTGCTTGACGAGCATTTCTATCAATGCATCGTTATCATCATAACCGTCGGGTTCACACCCGCTTAGTGGAGAGAGAAGAATGCGATCATCCACGTTAGGATCTGCCCCTCGCTCGAGTAGAAGCTTTACAACATCCTCATGGCCACTCTCAGCTGCCCAGCTTATTGCCGTCAAGCTTTCCGCCTCGTCTTGCGCGTTGGGGTCAGCACCTGCATCGAGAAGGCGTTCTACGATGCCTAGGTATCCTATCATAGCCGCGTGCAAGATCGCTGTAAACTTTTCCTTGTCCCTTGCATTTGGGTCAGCTCCGTGCTTCAGCAGCAGAGCCACAGCTTCATCATTGCCCCGTTCAGCCGCGATCATTAGAGGGGTCCATCCCTCCTCGTCCGCCAAGTCGACGTCTGCGCCGTTATCAAGCAGAAGCGACATTATCTTGATATGAAAACCAAGAGAGGCCCGAAATAGCAGTGTTCGTCCCTTCTCATCCTGTTTGTCCATAGAAGCGCGCTGTTGTAAGAGGCTGGCTACTATCTCCGTGAATCCAAGCTCCGTCGTGTGAAATAGTGATGTCTGTTCCTCGTCGCTCTGGGCATTGGCGGCGTTGATGCCCTTTTCCAGGAGTTCCTCAACGATATCCAGACGCGCCTCTTTCAAAGCTTGAAGAAGAGCTACTTCCAGATAGAGGTTCCCGTACGGGTTTCCTGAGTTCAGCCTCTGATATAACATTGCATCGTCCAAGGGACTGAGGTCCGACTGCCGGGAGGGGTCTTTTGGCGGCACAGGTTGCATGAAAGGTATGCCTGGATAGAGGTCCTTGTACTGGTTTACCAAGTCCAGCTTCAAATAGGAAATGGCATTCTCTAAGGAACTGAGGTCTGCCTGCCCCGATGATTCCGTCGGTGACATGGTGCTTTGGTAGGTCTTTTTAGATTGAAGACTTTATTGCGATAATTCTTTGGGAAAAATCCTTCTATTTGAAGCTCCTGAAACTGCGTTTGGACCATGTCTGTATCTTGCGCCTGCCTGGGTAGGCTCCACATATTCGGATGCCGCCGGTGCTCACGGACGCCGTGCCATACCATATTGGACAAGTTAGAGGAGCCGTACCCACCAAATTAAAGGCCGATATCGCGAAAACAAGATAGATTTACGTTAATCTTTACACTACCTCTGCTCTGCCTAAAGTTTATTTCGCATAAAGTGGAACATTGGTCTCTATTTGCATTTAGAATATGTACAAGTCCTGATATGGTAATCCGTAATTTAAAGTTTCGTTCCATTTGTCCTCTTCTATCGATATCATAATAGCTGGCATAGATAACTAGGAATACTTCCTTGACTGGAGCCGGCTCCTTAGTCAGGCTTATCTGTCTTTCTAGACCATCGTATTCCGCTATAGAGTCAAAAACTCAAACTAATTCAGAGGTGCTATCGGTTTTAAGAACCCTGGCGCGAATTATTGGGGCATCTTTACTGAACCAGCCGGCAACAACTACCATTAAAACAATAGCGAGCTGCAAGGAAAAAGTGACAAATCTGATGGCAAAGCTTCCCGTGGTAGGATGCAATATGGCGATTTGCGTAAATGAGAAAATGAGGTCGTAGTTCATGCGGATCAACTGAAGGACTGTGGCAGGCGCGGCAGCCATCATCAACACTTCAGCAGAGCGGTAGCTTATATCTTGTCGAGCATAAGATATGTGTTTGCCAGCAGGATATAGCCAGACCAGAGTCCCGAGCATCACAAGGAACATGATGATGTTTCCGGCCTTGTCGAGAGCTTCGTTCTTTATGTTGTTCGGCATCGTTGTATCTCGCATCCCGCCATATGCTGCTAGGATCGTGCCGATGTTGTAGATGACGTTCACCGCGATGACCATTATCTTATTCCTTTGACGTTTATATGGGAATAATGGGAGGGTCAAACTTGAACAAGGTAAGATTTAATGCAAAATGCCAGAGTGCATGGGGGGGGGGTCACATACGCTTCGTAGATCAAGCCAATAATGGTTACCGATAAGGTAGCCGTGCAGGCAGCGGCGGCCATCATAGCAAACGCTGTCGGAATATCGGGTTCATTACGCCGGGAGAGGTAATAGATGTCCGAACTGATTCGAAAGATAAAAAAGACCATGAAGGGAGGAAACCACGCCTTGCCAGTTTTCCGGTGTTTATACGCAACATATAGGGCTGGGAACAGCAAGATGATGAAAACAATAAGGGCCGTAGCGGATAAACCGATACACGCTGTCGTGGGAGGGCTGGGAGGTTGTGAATTGGTGGTCGACATGATCAGCTAGTGAGGACTTGGTGAATGTAGAAACGGTTTAATGTGCGGTTGTCAACTCGATGGAAAACCGCAGAGCCAACCCAAATATTTATCATCTATCAGAGCCCTACATATCGACAGTAGAATCTCACTGCCCAGCCCCCTAGCACAGCAAAAGGTTAACTGGAGCCAAAACAAGAACCCTAAACCCCAGTGAAACTGTGTCAGTTTCTGTGCCAACAACAGTACCCAGCCTCGCCTCACAAGCGTTTCCTAATTTTAAACGGTTCAACCGCCTGGGAGACGTCAGCAAGCGTTTCACCGTTCAGGGACCTTGGCCTATCAGCTCGACTGGCGTGCTCTTGATACGACTTATAAAGACACGCAATGCGTAAGCATGTGGCGCGGCGGCCCTTGCAAATCGTGGTTTCGTTCAGGGCGAGCCGCAAAACAAAGGCAGATCTGAGTGACTAAGCGGGAGAACCATCTACTACCGCACTTCCGCCGGCCGGCGCTAGGCAGATCTCACGGCAGAGCTACCTCGCTTATAATAGATCATCCCTCGTATCCTGGACTTGCCCCGGTTTCAGCCCCGGAATAAACTTTAAACTGGCAGAATATCAAGCTTTGTCCCTTTTCGCAAATCCTCGCTCTAGGTTTAATATACCATCGCGCGCTTAACCTTTCTTATCTGTGTTGTGATCTGCAATCTAAGCGCTTCCATCAAGGACGTGACACACTTGTCAGGTCAGCCAGCTCAGAATAACAGTCTCGAAAACACACTTCGGGCAGCGTACATTACCCACACAGTCTTCGTATCAACACTACTCCATTGCTGTGAGATGTCTCTGGCAGGTTTCATCTAGATAGAGTTCTGCCTTGGACCTTTTCTATAGCTTCCCTGCCAGCTGAGGTCTCCACGAGAAACAGAGTTTACTCCCAAACGGATCATGCATTAGCTCTGCAGATCCAAAACAGCCCTTCCCGCCAAACTCCCACTTTCCATCTCCCTAAAGACGTCCGTCAGCTCGCTCAGCTGCCTTGTCTGATAATGCACCGTAATAACACCTCTGGCCGCCAGATTCAGCACATCGACTGCATCCTGACGATTGCCCAATATCGACCCAACAATCTTCAGCTGCTTCTGAACAATCGGCCCAGGCATTGCGCTTGCGATCGCAACAGGCTTTCCCCCAGGCATTCCAACACCGACTAACGTTCCACCGGGTCTCAACAATTCTAGGCCTTGAGAGTATGCTGCATTGCTTGACGCACATACAACTACTGCATTGGCGCCGAGATTATCTGTGATCTTCTTGACGTTGGAGACCAACTCCTCGCCGGGCGTCGTAGCATCGATGAATATCTCAGCACCACTCTCCTTCACCACATCTTCCTTGCCTGCTTGATCGATGCCAACAACGCGATATCCGAAGGCTTTGGCTGCTATCTGCGTGACGAGATGCCCCAAACCACCTCCGGCGCCTGACACAACAACCCAATCGCCTGGACTGGCACTCACCTTACTTAAGGCTGCGTACGATGTCAGACCTGCGCATAGCATCGGTGCGGCTACTTCGGAGCTCACGCCGTCAGGAATAGGTGTCAGGTATCGAGCTGGCACAGTGAGGTATTGCTGGAATGTCCCTGGGTTGAACATGCCGGATACAGACTGTTTGGCACAGAGACCGTCCTCTCCAGCGATGCAGTAGACTTGAAAACATATTAGTCAATCATGTAAGTGAAGAAGAGGTTACATACCACAGCTACCGCAGATATCTCTCAGCCATTTGACTCCAACTCGATCTCCAACTGCGAAGCCGTGTATATCTGCACCCTCTCCAACCTGAACAACTGTTCCAACACCTTCATGACCGCCAACCTGAGCTACATAGATCGTATCAGAGGCGTACACTGGTCATCTCAGAATGAGACTTACTGGCAGGAAGCGAAAAGGGCATTCCCCAAGAGTTCTTCATGATGGAAAGGTCTGAGTGGCAGACGCCGGAATGAGAGCTGTAACTGTTAGCTCGTGTCCCCGGGCAACAGTTGAGACTCACAGCTTCACCAACACCTCTCCTGCGGATGGGCTGGGAGTCTCAATGTCTACCACCTTGGTGCTAAGTTCACCAGGTTTGTCGTAGACAGCAGCCTGGTGGGACGACGGGGCACTAGGGACGATTGCCATGATCAAGTTTTGACGAGTACAACCGGTTACAAGATGAACAAGAATATAGTCCGACTTGAGCGGAACTACCTTTTTGTTACTACAAGGTTTGTGTAGCACAATATTTATTGACATAATGATGTTGTGGTTCTTGGTATCTCTAGAGCTGCCCTTCGGGTCTCCTTCCGACAAGCCCGGAGGAGGTCTTGCGAGTCGGAAGCATAGAAGCGATAGCCATGGACACGCGAACCACTCTCTCCGCGCCAGAACCTTCAGTACTCCAATGGCAATTTAAACAGCTTTATAGCGTTAGTCCTTCCAACTTGCTGTTTCGCGTCACCATCCAGGTCCACAGTCCTCCACCACGCCTGCGCTTCTTCAATGTCTTCGTATGGTGTATCTGTTAAGATATTAGCTTCACCGTGCAATCAATTTTGTGCCAAGAATCGCTACCTATAGAGTACATGCATCTGTCGAGCCCAATTGTTTCAATGCAGAGCTTCAAGCCAGGAGTAAAGAAGTTTCCTGAAGTCGTGATGTAGACATTATTCTTGAAGTAGTAATCGTAGTCTTCCTTTGACGGGCGCGTGGCCTTTTTACTGGGCTTGTTGTACCAGTGGCTGGCTCTCCAGAGATTCAGAGGTATGCTGTTCGCAGTGTTATTGACGTTTCTTGCCTCTAAGATGGCAATCTATACTTCTCTCCTAAATGCCCAGCTACGATCTTTGCGCCTGGAAATCTGTCAAAAACTCCTTTCGTCATGTCAGTCTCAAAATCAGTGGATTTGCATCGTGGCAACTCACCGGATGAGCAAAGCGCGTAGATATGATACGAAAGATCAAGATGAAACTGAACAGCTGCGCCTTGAAGATGAGGCCGATCTCCATACAGCGACCCAGGTTGGAGGTCTTTGATCGACACGTATCTCGGATGCAAGTAAATCGGAACATCCAATTCTTCAACCTTGTTCCAAAACGGGTCATACTTGGCAGTGTCAAAGTACTCTCGTCCCGATCCTCCCTCTATGCTCTGATAGTCATTAACAAGTCCCCCGAAGAACCCCAGTTGTTTGACGGCTCTTTCCAGCTCCTGGGCAGCTTCCTCAGGGTCATGCATGGAAAGAGCTGCAAGGCCACCAAATCTCTCTGGTCTTTTCGCGACCTGACATGCCAGCCAGTCATTGGCTTCTTTGGCTGTTTTCTCTGCGAGTTCGGGATCCGTTATGCCTTGACAACCCGGTGCAGTTAGTGACAAGAGCATGTACTCGACACCTTCAGCATCCATAGTTGCGAGGCGTTTGTCGTGTATATCAAGTAGCTTCGCAGCGTGGGCTTCAAGAGCCTTGTTGCTGCTGTCGCCAGGGTTGAGAATGGAAAAGGTTTCTTCGAGGAGCCATTTTGTTGACGGTGTAATAATTGCCTCTTCCATGGCGATGGTACCTGGCTTTGGCATAACGGGTGAAGTTGATTGTCAATTGAACGTTTAACTTTATTGAGTAGATTGCACTACGAATGTTGGGCATAAAATTAACCACATACTACAGCCCATAAATAGAAGGCCACCATCAAGGTAACAGACTCTCCGTAGACTACCTTATTGGACCTTTGCTCATCTCTCCTCCAGCGAGTCTGCATAATTCATCACATGAAGCTACCCTGTACCGAGCCGAAGAAGCTGCCGGAAATAGACCAAATGGAGGGGCTATCGTGAGGGGCCGTCGGGGATATGCTTCCGACAAAGGTCTCCACTTCAAAGGCTACGAAACAGAGACCGGCCTAGAAGTGGAGACAGCCGAGCATGGCCCCAATGCTTGGCCTCACAAATCCAGAGCAATCTATCTATAGAGATCAAGACAAATAACTAGAGAATTTGGCCTTTGCTAGAGCTCGCATCTTGGACTGTTTTCAAAACATATGTCGTGTTAATTGATTCATTCTGTTGTCCCTTATCTTATCTCAATCACAATGGCCCACATTTTCGACGTTGCACCTCTTATCGATAGCGGGTATGTGGACGGAAAAAAGGTCGGCAACCAAGTGAAGTACCCAGACAGTGGAACCTTCAGCGGCTTCAACAAACCATTTCGTCTGGAGGGCGACATCTTGGATCTCGAAGTATCAGGAATTGTTCCGCCTGAGATAAATGGGACGTTCTATCGAGTTCAACCAGATCATCGCTTTCCTCCCGTTTTTGAAGATGACATCCACTTCAATGGAGATGGCAATATCACTGCCATTCGCATTCAAGATGGCCATGCAGACTATAAGCAGCGCTACGTCAGAACAGATAGGTTCTTGGCGGAAACAAAGGAACGGAGAAGCCTGTTTGGGAGATACCGCAATCCCTTTACGGATTCTGAATTGGTCAAGTCAGTCATCAGAACTTCCGCCAACACCAACATCACCTTCTGGCGAGGAATGCTTCTAGCCTCCAAAGAAGATGGCCCGCCATATGCCATGGATCCAGTCACTCTGGAAACCATCGGGCGATATGATTTTGAAGGGCAGATCCAATCGCCAACAATGACTGCTCATCCCAAATTCGACCCCGAAACGGGTGAGATGATCTGCTTTGCCTATGAAGCTGGTGGAAACGGAAACGATGGATCCCGCCAGATCGCTGTCTGGACAATCGATGCAAATGGTGTCAAGACCGAGGAAGCTTGGTATGAAGCGCCCTTCTGCGGTATGATCCACGACTGCGGCATCAGCAAGAACTACATCGTTCTGCCCATGACACCACTCAAGTGCAACCCAGATCGACTCCAAAAGGGCGGGAATCACTGGGCATGGGATCCAAAAGAAGATCAATGGTACGGCGTAGTCCCGCGGCGAAACGGAAAGCCCGAGGACATTATCTGGTTCCGCTCTGATAACGGTGAGTTGACTCGGCGATATGATAAGGTGCTTACTGACATGTTTGGTCAGCATTCCACGGCCATGTTGCAGGGTGCTACGAAAACGAAGACGGCAACATCGTGTTCGATCTAACAGTAGCAGATGGCAACGTGTTCTTCTTCTTCCCACCTGAGGATACACCAGCTGGTACTGTTGCGAAGCGGAACCGTTTAAACAGTCCCACCAAACGCTGGGTGTTCAATCCCAAGAGTCCTTCGGGAACACGCGTACAGGCTAGTGAAGAATGGGACACCAGTGGTGAATTCTCCCGTATCGATGATCGCTTTGTCACCAAGAAGTACAACCATTTCTGGCAAGCCAAGATCGACGGGTCTCGAGAGTACAACGCTGCTAAGTGCGGTTCACCAGCTGGTGGACTCTTCAACTGTCTGGCTCACTATACATGGGATGAGAGAACAGAAGATATCTTCTGGGCCGGCCCTTGTGCCACATTCCAAGAACCATCATTCATCCCCAAGAAGAATGGTGCAGAGGGTGAAGGTTGGCTCATTGCATTGTTGAACCATCTTGATGTCTTGCGCAACGATGTAGTCATCTTTGACGCACAGAACCTCGCTGCAGGGCCTGTGGCTACGATTCATCTACCGATGAAGCTTCGTCTCGGACTCCATGGCAACTTTGTGGATCAGGCGGATATAGAAGAATGGCAGACCAGGAGACAGCCAGGTGGGGATGTTGGTCCCGTGAGACCGGCTGAGAAGCCATTGCCCTGGCAGTCGGAAGCTGACAGCACATGAGTGTCGACTGATCACTTTGTGAGAAGGACCGGACTGTTCGGTTAGGGTTGGGATTGCATGTAATATTGATCACTGGACTTCTTTTTCTCAATAATGAATTTTAAAGTTAAGCTTCCTCCTAACAGATACTTGATGCACGTCAAAACTATAACCCCACATACGCGAGCAATATCACTATCGTGAGTCTGTCCACTTAAATCGTGGTCTTGGGCCTCGTGAGCGTGCAGGAGATGATATTATCAGTTCTGTATCGATACACAAAGAATTACTATTTTAAATAGAGGTATCTCAGTCTCAGAGATATCACATATCGGTGTCCTGCATTCAAGGGCTTAGATCGTCCGTTCGTGCCTTAAATCCGACCTACCCCCTGTTATGATATCAGCGGAGGCCTCGGATAAGTCTGCAGGTTGCGATCAAAAGGCTCCGAATATGCAGTGACTATGCGGCATCATTAGAACGCGTCACTTCTATCAGGTATTCGGATGGTTAGATTTTGATGATGCCGGGTCACTTAGGGCTCGGAAGGAACGTCAACTGCGGGGATGTCATCGGACTCATCCTTCCGAAGGACGATGGATTATTCAGACGCCTCCAAGTGGGACACTTGACCTGTTATTGAAGTGGGGCATCTTAATGCCGGTCGTTGATTTTATAAGTGTCTAGGCCAATGTATGTGGCATCAGTAGTCCACTTGTTACAGGAAAGAACACCATCTCACATCTCCTCCCCAGTGTAGCTTTTAAAAATGCCTGCTGCAAAAACCCCACGTGATATTGAGACTCGTCTCTTTATCAATGGCGAGGTATGTAATATGTCCAACTGGGTAGAAGGGATGTGTTATTGACCAGCGTTTAGTTCGTCGAGTCATCTGATAAGAAGACGTTTGAGTTGAAGTCTCCATCAACTCACCAAGTTGTAGCTGACGGTATGCTCAGAATCCTCATTTCGGTCATGCAATGTTACGAGACATCCTGACTCGGTTATAGTCCACGAAGCAAGTGAAAGTGACACCAACGCCGCCGTCGCAGCAGCCAAAGCCGCATTCCCAGCTTGGTCCGAACTCTCACCCAAAGACCGAGGCCAGTACTTCAAGAAGCTTGCCTCCCTCATTCTCGAGTCGCATCATGAGTTAGCATATCTCGAAGCCATTTCTATGGGAAGACCTGTGAAGGGATACTTTGATGCTTTTGCCGCTGCTGACACGTTCAACTACTATGCCGAAGCTGGAGCGGTGGTTCTTGGAACTAGTAGTCTTAATATGCCTGGACACTTGAACTTTACTCTACGGCAGCCTTACGGAGTCGCTGCGGCGATTATTCCATGGAATGTGCCGATTCTGTTCCTGGCTCTCAAGGCAGCTCCTGCGCTGATGGCAGGCAACACTGTGGTTTTGAAGAGCAGTGAAAAAGCACCACTGACTGTGAGTGCTTACCCATGTTCCTATGACTTCTTTTACCGGCTAACACCCAACAGTCTGCGAAAGTCGCACAATTGGTCCAAAAGGCTGGCTTCCCACCAGGTGTCTTCAACATCATCTCAGGCCACGGCAAAACATCAGGAGCCATTCTTTCCAGCCATATGGATGTTCGAGTCCTCAGCTTCACAGGATCAGGTCCAACAGGTCGACTCATTCAAGCTGCCGCTGCAAAATCTAATCTCAAGAACGTCATCCTAGAGCTTGGCGGAAAGTCTCCGGCCATCATCTTCGACGACGCTGATCTCGAAAAAGCAGCTGCTGAGACAGCACACTCTATCCAGTGGAACAGTGGGCAGGTTTGCATGGCAAACTCCAGGATCTACGTCCACGAAAGCATTGCAGAGCCTTTTATCGAGTCGTTCAAGAAGAAGTTTCAGGTCATCGCAGCTGGTGACCCAACTGATGAGAAGGTCAACCATGGACCTCAAGCTGATGAGATCCAATACAACAATGTGCGATCATATATCGAAATGGGCAAGACGTCCGGTAAACGCATCCTCGGTATGGACCATGAGGCCACTCCAGATGGCTATCTCATCCACCCAACAATCTTCGTCGAGACCCAAGAAGACGCTCGAATCATGAAGGAAGAAATCTTTGGTCCGGTCGTCAATATCAACACTTTCAAGACCGAGGCTGAAGCAATAAGCAAAGCCAATGATACAGAGTTTGGCTTGTATGCTGCGGTGTATAGCAAGAATATTGACAGGGCAATGCGTGTTGCAAAGAGGTTGGAGGCTGGCACCGTTGGCGTTAACTGCACTAGTCCCACGCAGGCAAAGGATATGCCATTTGGTGGATATAAGACGAGTGGTGTTGGCAGGGAGGGAACGACGGTCAGTCTGAATAACTTCTTGGAGACCAAGACAGTACTGGTCAAGTTGGAGGAGTTTTAGTATCATGAAGAGTTCTTAGATAGTTCATTAACATGTCTCATTTTTAATCATCGAACCATCACCCTCATCCCCATCAAGCACTCTTACCACTGGCATTACTCCAGGCATATCAATATATATTTAGGTAGCAAAGGCGTAATATACTACAAACCATACTAAATAGCCTTTGCATAAGCATTTACCCACATCTTGGTAGATCTGGGTTTCGCAAGTGCTCCTCGCTCAATCAAGTCCATGTCGTAGTCTGTCATCCCCTCCGCCAATTCAAATCTGTCGAATTCCTGCAACGTCCTTGCTATGCACTTCATAATATGCATCCATGCTAGGCCTCTACCAATGCATCTGTAGGCCAAGCATGTTAGCCATAATCATTCCCGTTCCTCACGTGGTAGCGATGGAAAAGGCGAGCCCTTACCCTCTTTGGCCAGCTGAGAATGGGACAAAAGCCCGGTACATCCTATCCTTCTTTTCGGACGGTACGTTGAGCCAGCGCTCAGGCCTGAATTCATCCGGATCTTCGAACACTCCCTCGTAACGATGTATGGTGTACGGCTGAGCTGAGATGACGGTCTGTTGGGGCATGTTAGCTGTAACTGGACACTATCAAGGTTCGAATGCACTGGGATCTATCAAGCACTATTGGGGAGTTTTACGTCTGGAGGGTAAGAAACGCCTTCAAATTCAAAGCCCGATTTCGGCACGACTCGTGGCATTGGTGCTGGTGCAGGAGGATAAACACGAAGAGTCTCGCGGATCACAGCATCCAGGTACGGGAGGTTGGCTAAATCGGTACTTGAGTAGCTCTTACCGAGGCTGCTCAGCTCTAGCCGTAGACGATGATCCACATCTGGACGTTTAATTAAGATCCAGATAAGATATGTCAGGGTAATAGAAGTGGCTTCGGACCCAGCAACGCTGGTAACATAACAGTCAGTATCGCTATCAGTGCGACCGGACTCTGGACTATCGACTTACATAAAGCCGTGGCCAGCAAGTGCAATAGACCAGGCTGAGTAGCCTTCTTTTGGCTCCCCAGTTGTCGGGTCCAAGAAGCCTGCCATTAATGACCCTTGCTTCTTTGACATATCCTGCTTGAGGTAGTCTTCTACACGCTCCTTTGAATATGAGAACACTCGTTGCAGTCCATAATAAGCGTCTTTCAGTTTCTTGAAAGGTAGATAGGGTATCAAGGGTATGATTGGCGCGAACGTGTTTTGCTGGAAAGGTTAGGAACTACAGAGAAGGGAATAAGTATTTCTGGACTACCCACAAGCCCTATAAGCATAAAAGCGTTGTTGAAATCAACCACGTATTGATGCTCTTTACCTGATGTTACTTGGTCAAAGCTCTTGTTAAGGGCTAGATCTCCGATAACGTCTAACATAAAAAACTTACTACGGAAGCGTTAGGATGGTGTAGCTTTGGGGGAAAAAAAGAGAAACACAGAATCTTACAAAAGTCCAAATAGATCAACCTTCCCTCTTTTCTTAATAACATCCATTAAGATATCAAGTTGTTCGTCGTATTTTGCTTCGTACTGCTTCATGCTTCCCGGTGAAAACATTGGCTGTAGATCGCGACGCTCCGCCATGGCTTGCTTGTGATTAACATAGTTGAATAGACCGGCATATTTTGGCCCAAGACCAGGCTGGATAGTCGCATAGAAATCTGACTTTAAAAAGCTGCTGCACTTTGTGACAAATACGTGGTGAAAAGCTTCAGGTGAAGCTACAGACACCTGATTTGGTCCGATGCGCACAACGTTACCGTGCTTCTCGTGCAATCCATGGATAACACGAAATCGGTCATCTCAAGATAGATGTTAGAACAGCTTTGATATCCGCCTGCCCTTATTTGCTGCGAGTTAACTCACTTTTCAAGGAATGGTAAACTTCCCATGCATTGCTGGTGGCGGCGAGCCATGGGCCAGGGAATTTGCGCAAGGGACTGAGATACAATCGATAAGTAACTCGACAGAGGAAGTCGATCAACTTGAATAATACAATAGCCAGTGCCAAAGATGTAAAGACCTGGAACCACTTGTGCAATTGATGAACGTAGAGGTGCCATTCAAGGCTTGAAATTGTAGAATAATCCATTGTTCAAGATGTTCTCAAAGGTTTGCTGAACGATGGATATTGCTGACTTGCACTCCTTGAGAGTCTCTTAAATCACATTGGCAAGTGTCATTGATATTCTATAAACTTGGACATAATCATCTTGACCCCAAAAGGTAGGCATTCATTCACTCCCCACTGTGCTCCGACGCTACGTATCTAGTGGGTACTAGGAATCTGCATCCCCCTCACTTCCGTGCCGGTCCGGAAGTGAGGGGAGGTGGAGCTCTATTGGCCGGACACGACGGACTTGTCTATATTGTAATGCTCACATTGGAGAATGGGCTATTTAGGGGAAGGCTGAAGGCGGTTATGTCGGGAGCTCGAAGCCACTAGCACCAAGACACAATATTCAGTACAGACATACACAACAGGGCCTCAGTCACAGCTGTTGTACGTCAAACCATGGGCCAGCAAATCAAGAACGAGAAGCCTGCTCCGCTCAAGATTGTTATCTGCGGAGGAGGAATCGCTGGCTTTGCAGCAGCACTGCTCTTACGTGAAGAACACGACGTTCTGGTCCTTGAGTCTTCATCATCCAACGAGGAGCTGGGTGCCGCAATTACGCTCTCCATCAATGCGACCAGACTTTTGAGAAGAAGTTTCGCGCGCGCAGGTTTCGACAAAGATCTCGCCCATTATGTCGAAGCTGAAAAGGTGCCCTACCCCTTTCGCTGGTTACACTTGTGTAATTCACTAACGCCTCAAAGTTCCAAGAGCTCCATTGGAAGGACCTCTCAGTGCTCCTGGAATGGCCAATCAGTGCAGTCACTCAGAAATATGGTGAGCCGTGGTGGTATTTCTCTCGCAAGGACGTCCACGCCGAACTTAAACGCGCTGCACTCTCCGCAGATGGCTTAGGAACGACACCTCGCTTAAAGACTGGCGCCCACGTCGAAAGAGTCGACTCGAAAACTGGTTCAGTCTTCCTCAAGTCCGGAGAATCCTACAAGGCTGACCTCATCATTGGCGCGGATGGGATTCGGTCTGTGAGTGGCAATTCAGTGTTTGGCAAGCTCGAGACAACACCGGAGGGCCTGTCGGCATATCGCTGCATGATCCGGACAGAGGAGCTGAGGAAGAATCCTCAGACACAGGTTTTGACTGACAGTGCAAAAGTGCTCATGGTGATTGGTCCCGACAGAAGGATCGTTGTGTACCCTTGCTCGAGCTGGGACTGGATGAACTTTGTGTGCATCTATCCAGACACTAGCGACCGACGGCTTCAGTGGAGTAGTGAAGTCGAAGTGCAAGACATGGTGGAAAAGTTCAAGGAATTTCATCCTTCCATTGTTGCAGCCTTATCGATGGCTTCCAATGCGGGAGTCTGGCAGCTGCGGCAGCGCGTGCCTTTGCCGACGCTGGTTAAGGATTTTTACGCGCTGGTAGGAGATGCAGCGCATGCAATGGGCCCACGTACGTCTGCTCTTTTCCCTGGAATCAATGCTTTCCATAGAGTCCTATATGAGCATCCAATAACGTTTCGCAGATCAAGGCCAAGGCGCCTGTCAAGCCATAGAGGACGCAGAAGCTCTTCGCATAGTCTTGAGTGGTGCCTCGAGTGACGATGTTGCATCGCGACTCAAGATATACGACGAGTTGCGCCTCCCGCGCATCACCAAGGTCATGGAGAATACGAAAGCAATGGCTCCGCGGGCCACAAACTCGAAGGAGGTCGAGTTCAAGACTACGCAGACATACAGTGAATACCACTGGGGCTATAAAGTGGCTGAAGAAGCGGTGGATCTCATGCGTGCGCATGGACTGGCCTTGAAGATCCTCAACGACGCGACTGGAGAGGTTGGATTTGAATGATGGTGTTTTGTAGTGAGATAACCATAGTAAATATCTAACATGGACTGATAAATTCTTTATAATATCTTTCTAATTCGCTGTTGCTCGAGGGGATGGATACTCATTTAAAATGAGTCATTATGGTTTAGCTGGTAACGATTTCTATAGATAGATTAATGTATCTGAACTTCATAAGCAGTAAATACATGGGGTATTAGACTGCTTTGCGATAATCAAGGACCATGAGTATGCAGAGCCTTAACTGAGCCGTCGTGGCTTGTGAAGAATCTATGTGTATACTCCCATCAGTGAAGACTTCCTCCGAGGCCTTGCCGCTATTATTCTCCTTAGTGCGGCATTTCTGCTTAGCCATCGCACCCAGGCCCGACGCCAATTAGCTTAGCACTAGCCAGGGTGCAAATGACTTGTCGGTAGGTGACCAACCGTTGCAGGGCCATCCGTGTGGGCGGCAGGGTTGTCGGCCAAGGTGGAGGTGCCCATCGGCTCCACTAGTGGACTATCCCGTCGATCCCGTGGTAGAAGTGCGTGAACTCCTGCCAGGGCTGGAGTGGCCTAGCGAGGAGCCCAGATCCTCCATCAGGCCGATCAGATTGCCTACTAAAAGCGGTGGGGCGTGGTCCGTAGAGAGTAGGTTACCACGTAGAGTATCAGCCGCCAACTGCATAATTAACACGGGATCTGCGAGCGTACAGAAAGTCCCTTTCACTCCCGTGTACGGAGGATGGCTTAGACCCGGTGTACCATGCCCTAGTGTGCAGAATGCACGGGCGTCGTCGTTTTCCTCTCCGTCTAGCATAACTAGAGTCATGGAAGAGTTATCGGTTGAACCATTGCGATTGATTCCATCAGAGATCACGATCACAGCCTGTGTAGGGCTTCGGTTGCCAAGTATGCTGCAAGTCCAAAGGACAAGAGCAGCATGGTATGTCGCCACGGCATAAAAGTTCTGCAGAGCCGTAGGCGGAAACTCACGAGCCCTTCTGAGAACCTGGCCAGCGTGCCACATTGCAACTCGAGCGGCCGATGATTGCCCCCACTCACTTACGACAGGCGCTACTCTCCTCGCCTCGCTTTCGCCTTCTTTGCCAGCAAACCGTTGTATATAAGCCATAGGAGTGTGAAGAGCCATCATGACGTATTCCAGAAGGAAGCTGATCTCGTGATGTGCGACGTGTCTCTCACAGTACATACGGATAGTCATCAGATCGTGGTACAGGTCGCGTTGTCGGCTCATACACCATGAATCCATTCGGCGTCTTTTAGCCTTGGGGGCTGCAAAGAGGAGAGCGAATTGTTGCTGAAGGTCCCATACCTGATTGGCAAGCGCATGGATAGCAGCAAAGCAACAGAGCTGTAGGTCAGCCTCGCCACTGCATGTTTCGAGGACTGTGACATCGGCCAGAACCTCGGTAAGTAGGAGCCGCCGTGATCCACTATTACACCGCAAGAAATCTTGTCTCCATTCTTTGGAGCCCTCTGCAAACCATAGGCTGGGCGGGTAAGGAACCGCCATGTTCAGTTCGGCATAGCTAATCGTCGGTGCCTGGAAATAAGCCATCGATACCTGAGAGTCATGGATGAAAGCGCGAATTGCCAGGCGCTTTAGTGACTCCCTCATGGCCCAGGACTTCCACACAATATCAAGCTCTTGAGCCCCCTGGTCGAGACATCCCGCCAACTCTTGCTCAGGTGGTGAGGAGAAAGCGCCAGCTTGGAACAGCATGGTATATCCTGGCTGCATGAAGCTGCACGCAATCTCAGTTTTCCGCTTGAGGCCGCTCCAGGCTCCGACTTCCAGGGCCCTCAAGTACGCCTGCAGGGCTTGCAGATCTCTCGTGGTGCTATTGTCACTCTCGTATAGCTGGGCCATTGCCGCACGAAGTATCTCGTGCATGACCAGTCCTGTCACCTGGATCCGACGTTCCGGGACGATGACTGCGCCAGCGGCAATGATTCCAAGAAGTAATTCCGGTCGCGCATGAAAACATGAAAATGTGCTTGGATGGATGCTCGGTACTAAAGACGCGCTCTCCTGGACGAAGAAGAACCGCACAAGGTCGTTCAGTAACTCGGCAGGTGGAAACGAGTGTATAGAAAAGTGGGAAATCTTCATCGCGGTTACTAACACTAGCAGATGGTCTCTGCATGCGTCGTCCAGCGTGCTACCCATTCTTCGTCCTGTCGAGGCTTTCATCAAAAGGGTAGTTCTCTCTCTACTATTGCCTGCGCCAAGGTTGATAACGTCCTGGCCGTGGAAGGAGTGCTGGAACCTAGAGGGGTGCCATGACGTCCAGGCACAACGTTGGTATGCTTCTGACCGGCTCCTGAATAACGAACCAAGATACCGATTATTGGTTAATGCCGAGTCTGCATTGTCGTTGGCTTTATCATGAGCAGCTACTCCGGTATCACAGCTGGTCATACCACCGGATGTGCCCACAGTTAAGTCCAAGAGTCCAGAATCGAACCATGAAAAGTCCACGTCCTCAAACATGGATGAAAATGTGCAGATATCTCCGATAGTAGCGCTCTGTGCCTCGATATTTGTATCATTCGCAATCCGTTCCCGGCTTTCATTCAGCATCATCACTTCTTGCTGATATAAGCTTCTGAATTCTTGATTGGCTTCTGATGACCTGCTCTGTCTGTCTTGAGACCTCGCATTGAGGTAGGTCAGGCCAAGACTGGAATCTGACAGCCTGCATTCTATACACTTCGCCTGACACCGTATACAAGGCTTCAAGTCACTGCACTTTGCTTTGGCTCGCACACAAGCATTGCAGGCTTGAGAAGCACGATCCGTTCGCCTTGACCCGTCCGGTCTGTCCAAATCTCGAACATGAGCCGACTCATGTCGCTGACGTAAGTCGGCGCGATTGAACCCCTTTGGGCAGAGGCGACAGCGAAATTGACGATGATTCTGGTGAGATTGGACATGTCGCCGAAGGTGGTCGGGTCTTTCATAAGACTTGCTGCACACGAGACAGACGTGTTTGTCGCTCTGGTGGGACATTTGACCTGCTGGTTGCAGACAGAGAATTTGACTAAGGACGAAATCAGGTTCCGGCGGACCCTTTTGAGTCTTATAGCCTGTCTATTTACCTTAGTCTACTGGAATAGTGAGTGTGGGGATGTGGGCTCCCGAAGTGCGGGGGAGAGTCTAAGTACGAGGTAACTACGGATACAGCTAGTCAAAATAACTGCTTAGGGACAAATACAATATTAATAAGACTAGAGGAGGTTCAATAGAATATAAACTATTTAAGCAATTAAAACATTTTATTATCATTGTTAAACCAAGTAAGTAACCTTGTCTCTTCCAGGCACTTTCTACCACTAATACGTTTTGGCAATTTAAGACATACTTAGATAGCAAAAGACGGAGCATCGTCTAGCAAGTCTCCAAGGTTGAGGATGAAGAATGAAACCCAGTCGATGTCCCAATCATGACAGTGAAACCGGAAAACTCGACACAGAACTGACTGCCAAAACGGGCTTCTGGACGGAATGCTGGAGGAAGCCAAAATATCTTGTTGTTATTCCATAAGATCTAAGTCCCATCATCGCTGAGGCTTAGCCCGACTCGGTCGCATTGATCACGACTTGCTATGGAGCTCTCGTCATCTCGTATATAACCCATATTGGTAGAGACTAAATTGAGTTCGGTATTGAAGTTGACACGTGTGGGAGAGCAATACAAATCCAGTTCCGCGATCGCCCCAGTTCGTATGTTGCCTACTGTCCAGGCATCGAACTGCTCAATGCCCTGCTTCCATGCACATCGCTTGAGATCTCGGTCGACAATAACTTGTAACACGGCATGCTTAAAGTCGAATTCATGCATGGTCCTCTGGGTCCTGATATCAATAATCTCGAGTCAATCCTGACTATGGGCAGCCTTGTCTTTTGTGTGTACGACGAGTAAATTGGATTCCATGAAAATATCCACAATTTGAAAAATCATCATTGGAGATCTATGCTTCTGACCGGCTCCTAAATGACGGGCCAAGAGACAGATTTTCGACATCAGACTTATCGTCAAGTAACGACAAGCATAGTTTATATAGATCGCAAAAGATAAACACGGTTTTATTTCTATTACATTATGCAGTACTAATGGAAACGAGCACCTCCCTGCCTTATGTTCGTTTCATAAGGTACCGCAAAGCTAGGATCAAACTCATCATAAACTATGCCGATGCCAAATGGGAAGTGAGCATGTCTCCGCCCCTCGCGAGCAATAAAGGGAGGGGGGCCATCGCCATAAATGTATTCTTGAACCTCTCTGTCAAGGCATACGTAGCGGCCTTTAAGTCTTTGATTGAGCATCATGGAAATGCTGACCTTGATCCTTCTACTGGCAGGTCGATGCCTCCAGCCTAATTTGTCTCGAATATCAGCTAACATGGTAGCATGGTTTCCGTGGCCCCTGACTAAGGAGAGAAAGCTGAGGTTGACTGATTTCAGTGTAGGTGGGAGCTGGCCGAGAAAGGAAATAAGATCATCCTGGAGGACTTGCAACCCGGAAAGCCCAAAGTGTTTTAGTTTTCCTTTTGATAAGGTGTCGACGGGAAAGATATCAAAGAGTGATACATAGTGTTCCATAGGGCAAGACCAAGCTCCTAATCCATAGCTGTTCTGCAAGGTAACTTCCTCCAGGTCTGTTGCTTTGGCTAGAAGGCTGGATATCCTGCCGTTCTTATGGAGACCCCAATCTTCAGCCTCAAAGTTCGCGAGGTATCCAGTTGTTAGCCCGAGCGTAATGCGTTTAAAACCTGGCCGCGCAACAATCTTGCAAAGACTATCATACTCTGCATTTGGCTTGTCGAAGAGAGTGTAGTCGATTCCGGTCGGGAGTTTGTGATTATCCACAACCAGCTCAGAGATGTGAAGCTTGTCTGCATAATCGGCCAGAGTCTTTGTAACTATGCAGAATCCGCGCCACTGTCTCCTCTCGTCGTCATTTCCCCATCCTTCTGGGCAATCTTCAGGGCCACCTTCACGAGCCTCGTCATCTGGCCAGGTCCGAGGAATTGGATATACAAACCCAGATGGAAATGCTCGGATCATTGGTGTTTTATAAAGTGGTTTAAAAAGAAAACCGTGTGCCGCCGGTGTAACGGTGACCTTCGTGAGTTTTGGGAATCGTTGTACGGTGTACCGAAAAGCTTCCTCATCTGCGCTCGATGATAACACCTCCCTTTGCTGAAATAAGAGGTCTGTATAATGCGCCACTGAGTCCAGAGATGACATCAGGTTATCAACCTGCTTCTGCACATCGATATCGCCCTGGTACCTATTCCTGGCGCGCGATCTGGCCCTGGTTAGATCGATGCTATCTTTACAAAGACGAACAAAATCCCTCGAGATCCATTCTTTGTCCTCGTTGGCGGCATAGTCATCAGGATCATTCTCATCCCCACTATAGCCACAAGGGCCATAGCCGTCTGTAATAGGAATCTTCATCAACACGGAGTCGTCCCATATAATCTCTTTCACGCGATGACGGAAAACATCGTGGTTGGCGACTGCGAGCAACACTTCGATATTGCGTGGATTAGGAGAGATAAACACGCGGTCAAATCTTAGATACGACTTGTCTCCCAAGGCTCGACAAGTCAGACGTAAGCTCTTGATGTCATGATTGCAAAGTAGAGCGCAGATAGCTCCAAGCAGCTCGTTTGGTAGTGCTTGGAGTGCAGGTGAGGGAATTGCATCGTCGGACAAGTTCATGGTTGCAATTGAAAATAAGCGAAGGTGTAAAGGGTAAATTCTCGGCGAGGCCAAAGTAGGGATAGAGAAGGCTTTATAGAGGGGGTTCCTTGTTTGCCCAGTCAAATGATATTATGATGCCACAAACTTTGAGTGGTAGGAAAAATCAACAGAACCTACCTACTTTGGGGGGTCCTCCATGTTTTATACATGGCGCTGACTAATTGCGAGGCTGTCAGTTGCAGTTGAGACTTGTGGCTGACAATTTATCACCACATTGAACTTAGCGAGGCTGTCAGGGGCTAATCTTAGTGGGTAGTGACATAAGCTTTCAGCCAAAAGTCTCAAATGCAAATAAGCTACAGGGGTGAGAGATCAAGTGAAGAGTTGCTGTGGTAAGGTTCAGAGTTAAAAAGAGGCCTCAGCCCCGATACACAAAGGTAAAGACCACATACCTATTAGAGACTGTAATTAGAGTATCTGGCTTTTTAGCTAAAAGCAAGAAAATAGGCACGAGGGCAATAGGTATATTGCCTATATGTGTTAACATATATACTATCTGTTAGAGTTTGGGTAGTACCCAGGAATAAGTTCAGTTAAAGAAAGCTTAACTAAATAAGTCACAAATGGTTTAGATACACATGTGAAGACCTGATATATTAAGCTTGAGTTTTAAAGAGGCTTCAGCCCCAACACAAAAAGGCAAAGAACACATGTCAACACATATGGGCGACGTACTAATTGCCCTCTGTGATAAGGTTGAGGTTTAAAGAGGATATATCAACACATATAGGCAATATACTCGCTGCCCTCACCGATGCCTAAGATCTAGCTTTTGTCTGAAAAAGCTAGATATCCTGATGACAGTCTCCAACAGGCATAATAAGAGCCTGCCTGGTGAAGAGTTGTATATAGCTGGTCATGTAAAGGTAACAGGCCATCCAAATTTCACTGTTTTGTGACCGAATCCTTTACTTTTCTCTTTGTATTATCCTTGTCTCTTTGACGAAATCTGTTCTATCCGTCTAGTAACTTCTCGTCATGGGTCATTCCAAGAAGATGGCTTTGTCACTCTTTACGTGTGCACTACTTATTCCCTCTCTTTTCACACCCTATGTCACTGCATCCTATTCCCACCACCACGAACGCCCCAATCAAACTGATCGAGAGATTGGCAATGAAGAAGTGCAAGTAAATTCCACAGGGAACATGTCGGAAGGGATCCATGTCCCAGTAGCACTTACTCCTCATGCAACTTCCAGTGCTTCTACTCAGGGCCTAGGCGATTATAGCAGGCTATCTGCTTTAACCGCTGCCACAGGCGGAACACCCGCGGGACAGTCGGACGGCCGCGATTTCGACCTCGTCGATCTCACGAGGCTCTTCCCCGAGGGGCACATCCCCTCAGATCCTTCTGATCTGCAGTATGGCCTCATTACCTTTGGAGGCGGCTCCGACTCTGGCGCGGTAGAACCTGCTAGCTCAGGATCCGGCTTTCTTCTCGCTGTTGGGGAGTCTCATGGACTTACCCAACTCCAGAAGAGAGATGGCCGACCGGATCCTTTTGTTTTCCTTGACTGCCCCGCTGGCGTACTCGACCAACCCGTGAACCAAACTCAGAAAGCTAGAGTCGTCTGCACCAGTCAGGATGTCGATGGCTGCTTTAGGGTGATGGAGCGTGGAGTTGAAGGCACTTTGGTAGAGATGCCAGAGGAGTGTGCACCAAATTCCTTTGCTCGAGCAATCTCACTAGAGGTTGCTGAAGGTAATCCGCTTTCCATTTATTCGCCCTTTGCACGGTAATCCTTGACTGACATATATCCTTCAAAGACCAAACTATGCCAGACCACCTGGCCAAGCTACATACCCCCACGTCTCCGATATACGAGTTCTCCTTTGACTTCAACAAACACGAGCGGCGAGCCGACGCAAATGTATCCATACGAATGGATATGACAAACGTCAAAGGATACTGGGACGGTCTTGTCGACTCTCCCGGTGTTCAGAAGCGTGATGTCGAGCGCAGATATCTTTCGTCTCTCAACCTTGATTGGAAGAAGACTTTACAAAAAGGAGACAGGTTCCGATACGGTTCTGGTGTATACGGGCTTAAAGTCAAAAAGGACTTAAGTACGCCGGTCTTTTGGCAAGCCGTCGAGAACTGTCCCATAAGGGGTAAGCACTATGGTGAAGGTATCGCAGCTTTCATGGAGGGCAAAGTCGATGCCAGACTACACTATGCTGCTACAGTCATTGTGAGTATTCTACATGTTCTCTCCATTCCGACTTCGATCTTGCTGATACGGTGCTGTAGGCAACCTCAACCAAAGGCTCTTCGAGAGTTGACGTCAAGGAAGCCACTGGCTTCATCAAAGTCACTGGCCAGACGGATTTGACCTTTGGAGTTGGCGGAATGGGTCGTCTCGATATCAGTATGGCCGGAAAGGGCAATCCTGCCAAGAGCGAGGAATACTATGAAGCCTTTCAAAGACAGACGATTAATGCAGGGTCTTTGTGGGGCTTCATGAGACTCACTCCCTTCATCACTCGGCAAACCTTTTTGGCCACGTCTCACATAAATGAGTCCCCATCCACCGCACCTAATCATGCGGCGCCGGCGACCTTATACGGACGTCTGACTACACGAGTCAAGACTGACTTGGGCCACTTTCCAGCCGTGTTTCCTCACATTCTATTTCCAGACGAGATGGACAGTCTTAGAAAGGACCACAAGGAAACCGAGATGGATAGTTTTAACGATGACATTCTTTATGGAGACGGAGGCGAGAAAGGCAGCACCATACAAATCGGACATAATCTCGTTTTTGGGCTCAGCCTGGACTTTGGCATATTCCCCGATGTACAGGGTCAGCAACCAACTCGCGAGTCCAGCGCTGCGTTTGTGAGTTTCCCAGAATCCATTTCCCCTCTATAGTATCTGTGTACTAAGTTGCAACTGTTATAGTTACTTGTTACCAGCGAGACGTATGCCAGTTGGGATATCCCACCAGCCGAGAACGGCCAAGTCTGCCCTCATGCATCAGCCTCGTAAGTAAATCTTGCTCCCGGCCACGCGCACCATATAGAATGAACTGACAGAATTTAGGAGTTTACTTAGACAAGGGGTTGTTGGCAAGTAAGTACAATCCAATGCTGGAAGTGACTTTCAGGAAACCACGCTAACGGACAAACAAGAGATCTTCTTGGCTGGAAAAATGACAGTGGGTCGGCTTTACTTTTCGTTGACAAAGTAAGTCACAATCGGCGGACAAGAGCATCTCATTCTAACTGACATATTTAGGAAGCTCCTTATCACGAGCCCTGCTACTCTACCAAGAGTAAGCGAGCAACCGTGGAGTTCCCTTCACCAGGAAACCAGTCTGCTGCCACATCGACTAACCAATACAATAAGAGAGGGTTATACAACCCCGAAGACACCTTTGGTTACATGCAACTCAGACCCAACAATGCACTTCGCTACGGCGCCAACCTCTTTGCTCAACAAAGCGTCAATCGAAATCTCGGCAGGATCAACTGTGATAACGGACGATGCGGATCTTGTGTTAAAGAGCAGCCTAGACACCAAAGAAGCTGCTGTGGCTGTGTTTGCATGCAATGCAAGTGGGGACCTCGTCGCGATATACCACCATGTGAAAAGTGCACGGATGAAAGAGTCGAGGCTGAAATGGAGTGGCCAGGTCCCCATGTAGTCTTGAAAAGGGACCGAATCGGTTGTAACGACGTTCCCGAGGGTGAGGCTCATGATCACAAGAACGATTTACACACTCGTGCAGGTCTCATCCATCTTGGCTGGAAGAATGTCAAAGTTTACGACGAGCTGTACAAACCCCCCGACCCAAAAACTTCGGCTAAATACAAGTTCCCGCAGTTCCCCAAGGACGTGGTGAAGGTATGGGACGGGGCCGATGGTGGTGCTTACGACTCTATTTCCCGCTACTGGGGAAATAGCTCGGCCGACTGTACCGACTGGAGTATCGGGCGTAAACCTACACGCGACCAGACCCATATCGGCAACGGCGTCTTCGTTCCATCAGCGTATCAGAGTAAGTTTATCGCTGGAACCTATTACATCAACGCGACTGCTAACATGTGGTGCCTTTCTCAAGCGGAGCATGTTTACGAGGGCCAGAACCTGGGTCAGTTCTTTACTGAGTGGCTCACTCATGGCCAAATCAAAAGGCAAAGCCCATCTCCAGGAGTCACAAAAGGCAAAGTTGACAGTGCCTGGATCGAGGACTGGATCATGGACGTCAATGAAGACTTTCCATGGACCAATCCTTCAGATCAAGAGGAGACCTACTCCTTGTTCGGCACACTACACACGGAGCTCGGCAACAACTATCACCAGGACCGCCTCGCAATTTTACAGGAGAGATTGAACCGTAAGAAGGAGAATGTGAGCACCTCTTTGTCCTGGGACTCGAAAGCACGGCACTAACAATACTAGGTCTTCGACCTGTCCAAGTCTTACTCCCAAAACAAATACATTCGCATGAGTACCGATGAGCAGTGGATGACAGTCAAGGAAATAGGTGAGCAGTATTCCAGCTTTGATCTCCGCACTTGATACTCATCAAGCTCTTTCTCGTAGGCCTTACTTTCAATTACATAAACGACGATACCATCTGGGGCATGTGGTGCGATACTTTCGCGGGTGTGTACGACCGGCTGGATCGCTTTGACAAATGGTACACGGCCATCAAAGGCCCAAATGATCCAGATGTCACACTAGCTGAGGAATGGGGTACGTATAACCGCATAGTCCTCGACTCCGCTGTCAGGATCTACCGCGAAGGTTGGGACTGGACATACAAAAATCGACGGTGAGTTAATTTACTCCTGGTAAGAAGATGTGTGCTAATCATAGCTTTACTATCAGAACCAACAATATTGCTCTTTGGTGGACGGGTGAAGAGCGAAACTGGCGCAACATACGGACCGGCAACACGGACGTCTTTCATCTGAAAAAGCTTTGCCCCAATCTTCCCCCCACAACTATCGTTTAGCAAATGGTAACGTGGAGAGCTTGCGCGGTGTAATGCTGTAAGTATGCTAAGGTAGTCTAGAATCTCAGTTTACGGTGTTGGATAAATGCACTCCATGTGACTCTCGTTTATATGACATGAAACCCACAGAGCATATTCACGTTCTAATGCGAAAGTCCCAAACTCCGATCGTATCAATAAGAGAAATCGATGCGGCAACAGTTGCATCTGCCGATAGGATCAGCTTCTGCACTAAGTCCCGGCTAAACCTTGTGCTCATAGAAAGCCCATTCCGAGTGTTGGCAGTGACGCTTATGGTTTGACTTCCTTGGCGAGAACAGGCCATCTGATAATCAGCAGATATGGAGACTCCACTGAAGAAAGGATTGATAGGGACCGGGAAGAGAGTCAGGCACGCCCCAGTTTCGATGTCCCAAGTCCTGATCTCACCTTCACTCCAACTTGGATCCAAGTATTTTGCAATTATTCAAGAAACTTGTCGTCTCTCTATAGCCTGTGTGGCCTTTAAAGGTCTGAACTACGTTCCCAGATTGGAGCCATCTGATCTCAATTTGGCGTCGCAAATATTCTGGAGCGAAAGCCACTGACAACGCATCGACACAGAGACCAAGGGAGCATTTGCTGACGGAGGAGTCGTCACGGGAGACTTTCAAGGTTTCTTCGTCTTGGAACTTTCTGATGCATTTGCCAGACTCGATATACCAGAGGAAGGATCTATGAGGGCTTCCAGTTGGAGAAAAAGCGACACGCGTAGAGTCACGGGAGAATGATAGGAGACACTCCTCATCCCAACATGCCGTTCCGAACCGCAAACCGTTTTCGAGTACCCGAGGTACACTTCACGCACTTGACCTGATGCACCTAAATGAAGTAGAGCAAAATGATTTGAACAGTTTATAAAAGCACAATATTGGGCGCATGGCGAAAGCTGAGGCGTCAGCGTAGTGCTTAGAGGTATTTCGACCTCCCCCATAAGCTCCGCCATGTCTCCACGCCGAAATCGCAATTTCGTATCAACTTTGACGAGAACCCACACCATCTTGGAAGATGTAGATACTGGAATTGAGGCATCAGTACTTGTAAGTTTCAGAGTCGAGGTTTCTCGGATACACTCGTCAGTGTTCAAGCGCCAGACTCTCATGCTGCAATCCCATGACAAGGACACCATATGCGTGCTGTCCGTGGGAAATGACGTCCCACTATTTCGGTCTTATGCCCTTCCAAGAGTTGCTGATGTTGATCCCAGTCCTTTTGTGGACTTCGAAGCTGCGATATCCATAAAGGTTTCCTTTTGGTGAAGATATGGTGCAGTAGACTGCTAGATGGGATGGTGCAACGGAGTGATGAATAGAGCTGTAAGGGAAACTAGTCGACGATTGTAAAGTTCATGGGACGAAAACGGTGATTATCTGTGAGTAGCTCTTGTAAGGTAGTATGATTGCTTTCCTGCCCTATAGTTAGCTTTAATCAAAACATGATTTTTATATTTATACATCTGTAATGTCTTGAAGGTTGATTAACATATTGTAAACGGCTCAGAGAAGCCTTATGAAGCTGAGATATTTCAAAAAAAAAAAAAAAAAAGAAAAGAAAAGGAGTAGATGGCCTTCTTAGAACTGCGATATCTCTACAGAGCTGATGGAGGATTTTGAGGCTTTTCTGAGGTATAGAACCTAGTATTAGCATGGGTATTGCAATTTAATCGGGATTTGACTAGCTATGTGGGTTGTTAGGACCACTGAGCGACGGGTTCCAGGCGCCACGATGTTGCAAATGTCTTCCCTGAGGGAGGAGTTCAAGATTTGAAGGCAACTAGCTGCGATTTCTCTATTTACTTTTTTCTTATTGATCCAACACCTGTTGACTCCTTTCTTCTCTGAGTCTAGCAAAAAGTCTCGGAATGAAAGATGTAGAAGAGTTATAGGGGTATTGACTGTCTTTGGGTGATTTAAAACTGAGTGAAGCATGTCTAACCTGTTGTGGATCATGTCCTCGGTTATGCCTATGATTTTGGCCAGGGCAGGTATAGTAAATGGTGTTTCAAGAATGATAATTGGGCCTGCAACTCGATGAAAGTCTTCAATGACCTCGTCCTGTTCTCTTCATGAAAGGCCTTCAAGCTGCTGTTCGAGTCATGGTAGGTAGGTAGGATTCATTTTTGATTCATGGCTCTTTGTCTCAAAGGCTAACACTTTTTGAAGCTGCGTATCAGGACTCGCGCTTCTACGCTGAGAGATGAAGCGACACACAGTTGCTGCGAAAATGAACAATGGAACGGCTTTCTTGACAAGAGCTTTGATGTTTTCGTCACCGGGCCATGTGTCTGCAAGCCTTCGGTCATCGTTGATGGATAGATTGTACTCCTCTCGTATTGTGTTGAGATTTTCTATATAGAATGCCTTGATATCTCTTCGAATGACATCCTCTGGGATCTCGTGAAGGACCAAGTCTTCGTAGTTGCCGGAGACAGAGCGGAAGCCGAGTCGGATATGAAGCTCGGGTCGACTAGTGATGAAAACCCTGATTTTGACATTCGACGCAACTTTTGTCTGGGTCAAGATGTTAAGGAGTCGCTTCACGTTTGCTTCTCCATCACATTCGTCTAGCGCATCAATGACGATAGCGATGACTCTTCTGTCCGTGGGCTGTAAGTGTAAAAGAGGCTACAATATCAACTTGCCAAACTGCTCCTCAGCCATCTTAGACGTTAAGAGAGGGTCTGAATTAATAGCTGCCTTGATACTTACAGATACGCTTGGAATCGAGATAGCCATCTGGGAGGCGACAGTTTTGTAGAAGTAAGAGAGATTTCCTCAGTCGCCATCACCTCGTTTGAAGAATAAGCTTGCTCCAAGGTGATTACGCTTGTCCCAACGCGTAGCTACGGTACGAGCGACAGTTGACTTACCAGTGCCAGCCATGCCTTGTAGCCAGAAAACGGTCTCCGAGTTGTCACCGTCCAGCCAGTAATTTATTTCCTGCAAGATTTCAGAGCGAGTGCTCTGGATACGGATGCTGTTGTCTTGTTCAGCAAATGAACTGTAGGTGGCTCCGACGGCTAATGGGAGTGCAGCTATATCCAAGCTATCGTCGACTTTAGGTATTTTAGTGACACCATTGGGCAAGCTATCGTCTGGTTTGTTGAGTTTGGAGTAAATCTCATCCAACTTGTGGTGAGTTTTGTCAAGTTTGGAGTGAGTCGCTTCTATCTTGGACCCAGTTTGGTCTAATCTGATGTCGGCTTCAAATAACAGTGTACTTAAATATTGATTAGCTGGTTCAATAAAGAAAATGGGAAATTACTTACATCTCATCGATTTGCAGGGCAAGCGAAAGTGATTCCGAGCATCTGCGTATACGCTGAACAACGCGATGAACCTGGTCACTCTCAAAGGGCCATTTCAGTGACTTGAATCCCAAGCGTTGTCTCACGCTGGACTTGGCGGGCGGGTGCAGTTTCGCGTCTACCTTAGATAAGACACTGAGGGTTTCCGTAATCTTTAGTGCAAAGTCTTGAGATGCCTTGAGCTTGGCGCCTTGAGGGCCTTCGATGAGTGTCTTCACCTTCTTTTCTGTATCGTATAGTGTCTCAACCTCTTGTTGTAGCTCCGCTATATCGGCTTTGGCATTTGTGACATCTTGGCCGTATTGAGAACAGACCTGTAGAATCTTGACAGAAATTTCCACCACTGCGATAACGTTGGCAGCTATTCCCAGTACCTCCTTTGCTACGGCATAACATGTGGATTGAGAGTTTGTAGAAGGGAAAATAAAGTGACAATGTGGAAGTGCGGCTGAATGCACTAAACAAATAGGGATTTGAGAAGCCGTGCCTTAGGTTGCTGCCCAAGGCTGACTGCAGTGTTTGCACAGGTAGGCTATGCACAGAGATAAACCAATTAACTCAAGTGTGGCTTGAAACCGGTCTAGAGACTCCAGCACACTGCCCGTCATACTTCACTACGTGTAAAGCTCTTCTTCAGCTAGATGTAGGTTAACCTAAATAGATTTTAAATAATGACAGATCTATCGCCTAGAGATATCAAAATAGTGTAGGAAAACTAGATAATTTAGCTAGATGCCTGACGCATTTTACCAAGGTTTGGATAGTACATAGACAGGATGGAACATTAGCCTCTGCCCAGTCGCAGCGCTCCTTTACACTCCGCCTCACATGATTGGCAGCCTGCAGGTAATATTGGCTCACAAGGCCTCACAAGACCTGGCAAACCCCGCACCATGCATTGTGAGTTATTCTGACTAGATCACGTCAAAGATAGACAAAATATAAAATCGAGACATAATTTGGGGGAGCTGAAAAACAAAACTTGGGTACTCAACCTGCGTCAAGTTGCAATATTTGACGACTTTAGTTCCCAGCGACTCTCTTCAGTTGCGATCCTTGAGTAGGTGACGAGACCAGGAGGCCTCCTACGTAAGCAAACACCACATCGAAAGGGCACTTCTTCCCCCGCTCACCCCATTGCTAATTATATTGCATAGATCAAGGTGAACTGCGACTATAAAGAAGAATTAGAACAACAATGAATAACGTCACGTTCAAACACAAGTCATTGGGTGATCCTGCTGAGAACATTCGACTGGTACAAGTCAAAGCCCCGCAGACTGCTTTACCTCTGCAGTTATGTCTCAGCACCCATTCAGTCGCTAACAATTTGCGCTATTTTGCTGTCTCATACACATGGGGAGACAGCTGCTTGACTGAAGAACTCCTTATCAACGGTCGTCCGATGATGGTGACAAAAAACTGTTATTTTGCTCTGACCCAGATCTACAGTCGATATCCATCTGATCAAAACCTTCAAGAACCTGTCTACCTATGGATTGATTCCATATGTATAAATCAGGATGACAATGACGAAAAAGGCCATCAAGTTGCAATGATGGGCGATATCTATACCAAGGCAACCAAGGTCCTGGCGTGTATAGGCTCACATGCCGATAACAGCCAGATGCTCCGCACCGTTTTGGATGAGATCAAAGTCCTTAACCCACGGGTTTATGCAGACCGGGAGGTCCTTCGACCTGGAATGTGGAGTGACCACACTGAAGGGCGGAGCAAGGTACGGAGAATTCAAAAGTTCTTGCGCTCCTATCCACCGGGCTCGCCGATGTTTCAACACAAATTCGGTGTTCAATTTCGTAAGGCATGTCTGGAGTTTGCGAATCGGAGCTACTGGAGCAGGGTCTGGGTTATCCAAGAGTTTACTGCACCAAGCCGAAGTGGCAACGATCTCGAGATCCTTTGTGGCTGCGACACCTTCTCAAAGCCTGAACTCAACCTGTGCTACTACATTGCTTTATGTATCAGCTTGGGGGGGAGCAAGCACGATGTCGAAGATGTAAGCTTGTTACGCAGTAGCCTTTCAACTCCAACACACTGCTTTCAAACGCTGATGCGATTCAATGCGTTGAATCCCGTGCCGCTTGGAAGCATCCTACTCTATATCAGAGACTTGTTCCACTGTACGAAGCCGGAGGACAAGGTATATGGATTGCTTTCCCTGGTCAAATGGCCTGTTGGTATGGCACCTATTCAGCCAGTCTACAAGCCTTCCACTGTGATGGATCTGGCGGAGCTGTTGATCAGTGTTACGGACGACTTGCCCAACAGTATCCAGGACATTCTACGGGCACTTAATATTCACCATGACCACTATCTTCTAAGGTCTTTGGTTGAGACAAGGACTCGACATCCGTCTGAACTAAGTAGCCGTCACGGGAAATACCCTCCGCGGGCTTCACAAACGAGGCCTTGTGTTTTACCAATTTCTCTGAACGATGAAGGCCAATTATCAGCGTCTCTTTGTCTTATACCTCAGAATCGGCTAGGATTCGACGGGGCGACCGCAGACCATATCCAGAGAGCCAACCGGAGTTTTGACACAGCGCAGCCGTTATTCGCCGGCTCTGATGTTGCAGCTTTACTTTGTGGCGCAGCTCAGCAAGGAGGTGCAATTATCCAAATCCAACCTCTAACAAGATCATTCCTCGTGCTTAGGCCGAATGAGCACGTTGGCCAGTACGATGTAGTTGGTCAGGGTCTGTTAGTCACCAGGTATGGGTTTCCTCAAGACTTACCTCTAAGCGTGTGCTTTGGAAGATATGTTTGAAAGACTCGAGACTGAGAAAATGCCCGAGTCGAATCTGTTTGATCCAAAACAGTACAAAGAATCGTTGAAAATGCAGCTAGAGGAGGCTCGCCAACCTGGACAAGGGGATCTGAGATGTTTAGTCGAGTTTAGAGCTGAACCGATTGAGTGGTTAATTTTGGTAGGCCAAGATCTTGCAAAGAATGCTCAAAGGGATACAGAAAGAGTTTTAGAGAAATTATATACCAAGATAAATATGCAAGTTACTATGGTTTAAATGGGTTATAACTTAATAGTATTATAAAAGAAGCTTATAAAATTATCTTATAAAGATAGTTTCTTCCTCTTAGGGCTAATATTAAAAACCCTTTAGCGTTAGAAATGCGCCTCTTAGAGGGATTAAAGATCTTTGCTTGCGACATTGTATTGATATGTTTTCTGATGAAGTTTGGTAAAGGTGATCCTAGTGACCCACTACTACCATATTTATATAAGGTTAGAGATAGCCCAGGACGCGATTAAGATAATAGCAAGGAAGCGTAGTTAAGAGTTAAGAGAGAATTAGCTAATATTTCTATATTTATCTAGCTCGTTAATATGTATGAGTTGAGGTAGAATTGCATGGCGGTAAGACATATCAGTATTTGCAAAGACTGGAGGTTAACGAACTAATCAAGATGTGGGGCCCTAGTAATTAGCCATTTTCATATTATTGTAAGCAACATAATTAGAAGTAACATGATTAGAAATAACAACCAGATGAGCAGGCAATCAAACTAGAGTTATCTGTGGCAATAGGTACAATACAACACACGGGACCGAACCACAGCGAGGGCCGGGATCTTTATGAGATAACAAAAAATACAGTAGTATTTGGTTCCGTCGTGTTGATGCGATCTGACAGCGACCACCGCAGATGGAGACAGACAGGTCGTTATCCGAATGGCCAGTTCGGAAAAGACGCGTGGCTGGGAGGTCATGGAGAGTCTTTTTTGAATCCATTATTAGCTTAATGGTTGTTCAAGTATAAAGATTAAGGAGCTTATGGAATGATAGTGTGATGGGACAATGGGTGAGGTTCGACACCAACATATGGGAAGAATGCATAATATTTATTCATTTCAGAAGACCACTTTGGTTGATTCCCCTTAAAGCTGCGCAGGCCAGCAAGGTAAGGACCGTAGGGTAGGCTCGGCGTGATGCGACTTGGCGATCAGGAGATGGACAGTTGAACTAAAATGATGGCTTAGCGCAGTTAACGGGTTGTGGCATCCTTAAGTCCGATCGGACCCACGGTACACTCCGTGTAGAGACTTTGGTGCCCCAAGGCAATATATACGGCAGCCGCTATACAAGTTTCCAGCAAAAGAAAACCAGAGTGAATAGTACATTAGTACTTCAAATCATGGCTTCCACACGAAAAGTCAGCTTCTCGAGTAGAGGCATCCGAATCGTTGCCGATCTCTACCTCCCATCGTCCGCACCAGGCTTTGCAGATCGCAAGAAATCTGCCGTCATAGTCGGCCACCAAGGCACAGGTGTCAAGGAACAAGCGTCCGGACTCTACGCGGCGACCTTAGCAGCACAGGGATTTGTTGCTCTTGCCTTTGACGCAGCATATCAGGGCGAGAGTGAAGGACAGCCCCGGGGCTTAGAAGACCCCTACCACCGAGTGGAGGACTTCAAATGTGCTGTCACATTTCTCTGCAACCTCGAGGATGATCTGGTTGACCCAGGTCGTATTGGTGTCGTGGGAATTTGTGCATCTGCTGGTTATGGCACATCTGCTGCGGTAACGGATCCACGCATCAAGGCGGTTGCTGGCGTTTCACCGATGTGCTTTGGAACACTGGTCCGAGATGGAATGAGAGATTCTGATGGAGTGATCAGCCCCGAACATCTTGGCAAGATGTTGGCAGATGCTGCAAAGGACCGGTTGGAAGAAGCAAAAGGCAATCCCCCGTCAGTCCACAACATTTTGGATGTCTTTGCTGATCCCAGGGAGGATATCAAGGGTTACTACGCTAAATGGAAGCACCCAAGGTGCACCAACAAGATGGTGACTAGGAGCGCAGAGCTACTGGTGACCTTTGACGCATTTGAGTATATCGAATGGATCTCGCCGAGACCTGTCCTTATGATAGCTGGGAGGGAGGCGATGACGTTTCGGTATAGCCAGCTGATTATTGATCGCGCGAAGGAGCCTAAGGAACTCGTTGTCCTGGAGGGAAAGGGACATGTGGATTTATATCAGGATGTCGCGGAGAGTGGACCAAAGCTTGTTTCATTTATGCAGAGGTATCTCTGCACATAGCCATAGCCGTCAGGTTGTTGTGGGGATTCAAAGTCGAGTATTAAATAGGATTCTTATGCGGCTCTCTCTTTTTATCTCTAGTCCTGTCCCTTGCCTGGTTTTACTGCTTTCTTATCAAAAAGGTACTTTAGTAGGGAGGTTGTTATAACAGTTTAAAAGATATATAATAATAATACTTAGCAAACTGATGGTAATACTCTGTTAAAGGTTTTGTGTGATTCCAGGTTGAATGCTCTCGAGTATAGCCATTAGTTCCTTATGCACACGTGCCTGGGTTTCTGCACCCTCCTTACTTCTAACAAACGTGCTTGGTTCTCTAACTCTGCACTCGCTCATGTACCTTCCGTGGCTTTCTTCTCCAGCGGCAGCACTATGCACAAGTGTTCGTGAACCTTCTTCTGTTTTGCGTGCAACGAGTGCTTTGGCGATGGAGAGAAGGTAGCGAGGTAATCCCTCGATAGCAGGTTAGTTTCTACTGGATCTAGAACGTAGCTTTGACTGTACCTTGACGTCTTTGTCCAGCTCCGACTCGCACAACCCGGGGTGCACATTGTTCAAAATGATTGGCTGAGCGCTATGACGGCCTTCCTTCATTGCCGCAGCAATTGAGCGGACAAGCATTACCACGAGTAGTTTCGACACATTATACCGATCATTGAGCCATTTTGGTCTGTTCTCGTTCAAAGCATCAAAGATTGAAGGTTCGAATCTTTCTCGGAATTTCGCCTATGCGTTGTCAGATCTGAAACAGCGGAAATATTTCCTTCAAGGGGGCGGTCAAGCAAAAGCAGGAACCCACATTGTAATGAACAGCAGAGCTAGTAATGACTAGCCTTGACGCTTGTCTGGTCTTTTCATACGACTTTCGAAGGATTGGAAACAGATTCAGTGCTAGAAGGAATGTTCCGATGACATTGACTTTGATGGTGATTTCGGTTCCCTCACTCTCTTCGTACGTATTCCTCAAAATGCCAGCATTTTCCACCACGACATCGATCCTTTCGAGTGAATTGCACCTTGAGGCGAAGGACTTCATTGAATCATATTTGTCCATTTCCAGCTGCCATACCTGGACAACGTTCTTTCGCTTTGTGGACGCCTCAATAGCTGCTTTGGCTGCTTCGCCTTTTTCTAGCGACCTGACCGCGAGAATGACAACTTCTGCATCAAGTCGTACAAAATGGCTGGCAGCTTCTAATCCCAAGCCAGTGTTGGACCCTGTAATAATGATGGTCTGGCCTTGGAATGAGGTGATCGGGACAGGAATGCGTTCCAATTGTCCGCGGAAGGCATCCATGGCTGTGGTTTTGGATGCTTGAATAATAGTAAATGTGAAAAGGAAGAAAAAGAAAAAGAAGCACTCTGAGGGCGCAAATTTATGTTCTGCTGTATTCTGCAGTAAGATCTCGCCCTACAAATTACTTATCTTTATATATTTAAGAAACAATAACCGAAATGCTAAGTAACCCGAACCACGGAATTAACATACTATAGGGTTCGGGACTAAACTAGGTAGCTATGGTCGCCGCAGCCTGTTTTGATTTCTAATTACCAGCGCCCGCAAAACGCCGGACTGAAGACATAAGAAGCCCGGACTCAAGCCTCAGAGTAAAATTCACGATTTGCTCGGCGAGAAGACGAGACGGAGCTCATCTGTGCATTATTATGTAACGGTGTTTAGTCCTGCAATAGAGATGCAAGACTAGCCCTTCCTGGCAAACATTCTGGTCTCCCTCTGCCGACACGGGATGATATTTGCTCCGTCGGGATAACTAATGCATAGTCCCGTTTTGATAGTCTTCTATTGAGGGACTGGGCTATTAGTGGTAGGGAGACTGTGGGGGCCGGCGCGACCGTGCGCGTTTCGGCCAATTTACGCCATATGGACCTTGAGTTAAACCCCTTACATACATACATATATTATAGAACCTCCAAGTGTAATAGCATATATGTTATTTCCCGTGAAACTCCTGTCATCATTCAAACGCCTATGAAAACCTGCACCTACATATTATCCTATTCTAGATAACTGTCACGATGTCTGACGACGTGGATGTACTCGCAGAACCTCTCACATTGAAATGTGGTTTGGTTCTGCCAAATCGACTAGTCAAGGCTGCCATGGCTGAGGCTATGGCGAAGGATGGACTGCCAGACAAAGCGTTTCGCCGACCTTATCAGGCATGGGCCAAAGGTGGATGGGGCATGTTGATCTCAGGTTCTTACTATTCCTCTTTTATTCAGACTTCTTCAGATAGTTAACTACTTGCAGGTAACGTACAGATCGATCACAAGTACTTGGGCCAGCCCGGAGATACATGTGTGAGCGAATCTTTCGAATACACCAAGATGCTGGAGGTGTGGAAATCGTGGGCTAAAGAGTGCAGCTCTCATGGAACACCTACCATTGTGCAAATCAACCACCCCGGAAGGCAATCGCCAATGGGGGCTGGTAAGCGCGGCCTATTCGAAAAGAACCTTGCGCCAAGTGCGGTACCCTTAGAATTCGGCAGCGGCATAGTAACCCGTACTCTAAGCCATCTGGTCTTCGGCACGCCCCGTAAGATGACCAGTGAAGACATCCGCAAAGTCGTGCAGCAATTTACCAACGCTGCTCGCCTTGCCGCTGATGCCGGCTTTGCTGGAGTCGAGATCCATGCAGCCCACGGTTATTTGTTATCTCAGTTCCTATCGACCCATTCTAATAAACGAACGGATGAGTACGGTGGTTCAGCTGTGAAACGGGCAAAGATCGTCACTGATGTTATCAATGCTGTCCGGAGTGTTGTACCAGCAAACTTCTGTATCGGCCTGAAACTCAACTCGGTGGACCATCAATCAGAGGCAGAACTGAGAGGCTGTGTCGAGCAGCTACAGTCGATCACCAAGGCAGGTATCGATTTCCTTGAAATCAGTGGTGGTAGTTATGAAGATAGACAGGTGAGCTTACTCGTGGAATTCGGACTATCTCGAATCTTGCTAATATTACCTCTAGTTGATCGGCGAACCTTTTAAATCGTCCACTCGAACCAAAGAACGCGAAGCCTTCTTCCTAGATTTCGCTGAGGTTATTCGACGTGAATTTCCCAGTCTTCCGTTAATTGTTACAGGAGGTTTCCGCACGCGAAAGGGCATGAATAAGGCAATTGCAGACGGGGCATGTGATCTCATCGGGTTGGCTAGACCAGCAGTGTTGAATCCTTCTCTGCCCAAGGAGTTAATGCTCAGCCCGGAGAAAGAAGAGGTCAATCTCGCATTGAATATGCCAAGTATACCGGTGCCATGGTTCATACGATTACTTGGTGTTCGGGTTCTTGGTGCCGGCACAGAAACAGTATGTTGTATGCGAACCGAATCCCAGTATGATACTAATGTTATATAGGCTTGGTATGGTGCTCGTCTTCGAGAAATTGGATCGAGCTAGGTAGCAGACTTGTAATCGGCTTTTTCTCCTTCCTTAACCGGTTAGCTTGGAGCATCAGGTTTATTTATCTTTCTATATGCCTGGCAGATCTAGAGCTGCCTGATACAGCACTGGCGGATGCAAGAAATGCTTAGCTAGGATGATATGGCACTTATATGCACTACTCCATTATTGTCCGAATGCAGTATAGGTTTCTGAGTGTGATGTTCTCTGTGATATCAGAGAGACGGGTTTGATTACTGAGCGCTGACTTTATCGAAGACGCGACCTACTACATTGCTATCCTAATTAAGGTACGATTTACGGAAAAGATTACTCAGCGGTCTCGGGATGCTATGCTCGGTCGTTTAGGTTAACGCGTCTCTCCACAAATTACGGCAATATTCCGCAATCTGGAAGTCGCAGAATAATCCTTAAACTATCTGGCCAATAAGAAGCATATAAGATGACGGATAGCCGCATAGCCGCCCAAACGTCTTCACGGACTCCCACTAGGCCATTGGTGGCTCCTGTTCTGATGAATTGCATTGTTTTGTCCATACATCGATTCACTTTCTTTGAATTCAGGTCCTGGCCTCCAAAGCGCTCCTCCAGGCACGTCTTCACGACTTACAGCAAATGGAAGCTAATGGTGCCCGCAGTGTCAGTGGGCCGTATGTTTATGACACATTCAATTATGTTAACATCTTTAACTTTCAAGACTTCTATATAATTTATCACTATGATAAAGAAAAACTGGTATGGTGTGGGGTTTAACTCATCAAGTCCAGATATAGTCGAGTATTTGTATCCATGATTAAGCTTCAGCCTCCTATAGATCGTTTAAGAAGAGCTCGAGATGCTGTGCGTAGATCTCAGGGTATTGGAACAAGTGGCCATGTCCCGAGTCGGGGTAGATAATAAGCTGAGCATTGCTGATCTTTTGCTGTGGATTAACACTGTTGGGAGTGGGCGACATGACGTCGGTGTGACCATTCGTCACCAAAGTTGGGGCCTTGATATCTTTGAGGCGGTCAAAGTTGTTAAGGTCCACAGTGAAAGCGAAAATGGCCTTCAGCTGTGCCCCAGCCCCCTGTCCAACAAGGAATTCTTTGCGCTCTTCTCCATCCACTTGTCGTTCATGAATCCTTTTCCACTAATCTTTCCTAGTAGCCAAGCTTGTCTCAAACTGATAGAAGAACAAGCCATGCATCTCTTGCTCGGTTGGAGGGATGTCGTTACTCCCAGCGGCGCTCTCGAGCATATCGCGTGGAGGCAAGACTACGCCGTCTCCAATGGCGGATTGTGTACCAGCTAGAACCAACTTGTGGACCAGCTGCGGGTAGTCCCTGGCCAGGATCTGCGCAACCCCTCCACCCATTGAGAAGCCAATTACATCTACCTTGGAGACTCCAATGACAGCAAGGAGTTGGCGGCAATGGAGGCCATAGCTGTAGTAGAATCTGGTACGGCGCCTTCGCTGTGGCCGATACCGAAACTGTCATATAGAATGACCTCTCGACTTTTGGCAATGATATTGAAGAGGAGAGGATCGAGTGCATCCATTGACCCTCAAAGATGGTTGACGTGTAGCAACGGAAAGGTGTTCTGCTTTCCGAAGCGCCGGTACGCAACGTTCACTCCGTCAACAGAAGCGAACTGTGTCTGAACTGTCTGAAGGGTCACCATTGTAATGCCGTTTCCTTGAGTAGTTGTTTGAAGACTTGTTTAATAGTTGTAAAGAGTGGTTAAGAGGGTACACTGGGAGATTTTGGTGTCTAGTAGAGATGGCTGGGATATTTGATGCTCTACCTTTAGACATTCATTAGTCCTTCTGCTGGTGAAGTCTTGTACATGATATTGAGCCCTTTCTGGAAGAGATATCTTTCAATAGGATTCAAGAGGGACTTAATAGGCTTGAGAAGGGCAATGGCTTAGTGGCAGTATTTGCTTCTAGCACAATGTTTGCCCGTCTACCTCTGACTGCTTAACCCCTCGGGTGTCTTTCATTGCAAGAAGGTATGAAGTGTATGTCATGTAGAACAATTCATGAAAGCCTTGTGGCAAGACAGTCCGTGTCGCGAGGGACGATGGAATAATAATTATTACATAACATGTTGGCTGACAAATGGATCCCGGTCAGTCTTTCGTTGATCACTAATCATAGACCGAAAGCCAGCTAGAGGTGAATGCGATGAATTAAAACAACCCCGTGGTCGGGAATGTCAATTTCGCCGAGACCGATTGTCGAGCGAGATAGAACCTTTTCTTTCTGCTACTGCGGCTTAGCTTGACCCCCGATCTATGATTATCAACCCTAACTGGGTTGTAAAAGGGGCATGAAAGTACAGGAGGATTTGACTCGGAGTTATGGCACACATTCCATCCTACAAATATGGAATAGATCTGCGGTCGAAATACATGATCTAACATGTACTTTTTATGGCTGTGTTTCCAATCTGGCTCGGGATTATGGAATGCCTCTTGTTTAGTGGTTGTATTCTCCCTTGGTGTCAGGCTTGTGTGGTGTTCGGGTCGGTGTAATAAGATCGTCTCGTTCCGATTCTTTCATTTTCCCCTACCAAGGCCTGTGACAGGATGCGCTATCAGACTGTTTCTAGCAGCAACTGGGGGTCGCCATCCCCTCGGTTATTGAAAGGGGACCCTTCATCTAATCAGGTGCCACCAGTGGCAACAAAGAGACATAGGGTTAAAAGAATATTGAGAATGAGAAATACGCAAGAAAAGACGTCTGGTATAGAGGATGGTGTTTCTGTATTTGGCTAAAACTTCCGGGCCGTTGCTTGATTGTCCTCCGTGGGCCTGCTAGGCTAATGCTAGGAATTTACTGGGTTTTAGGTAAAAGGAATGATGTACCTTAATGTTCTCCAACAGTCGAATGTGAAGAAAGTAAGATAACAGGAAGAAGTAGTACTGTCCTGGTTTGATTGGTTGCTGGCGGCCAGGAGCGAAAAAGAAGGTAGTAACCGGAAATGGAGAGGTGGAAGCGTGCACGAACAGACAGCTGCCCTTGGATTTAGGTGGGGGCTAGGAAAGGCGAGAAAAGGGTCAAAATTTAGCCGCATCAACATGGCATCTAGGCAGTTTAGGCTCAGCAATGCAACAAACCGAACTCCAACCACCCACAAGCTCTGAACAGAAGTTCTTGCACTCTTTGTGTATGGAGGCACCGGCCTTGGGCAAATGCCTTCATTGAACTGCGTGAGATATTTCATCTTACTAAGACAATGCAACAAGAAATCAGTACCGAGGGAGAATAATAAGAAATCTGCAATAAGGCGTTGAATGCAGCACTTGATATCTCGAGACTCTTTGATTCTTATTGGAGACTACCTATAGCAGTGAGCTTCATTGCATTAGCCCCTCATCGTATAGACAATAAAGAAATCTTGTTAAGGGTCTGATCTCGTGAATCGGACAGGGATGTCGGATGTCGGACGTCGGATGGGCTGCGTTTACTTCCGATGGAAAAGAGAATACTATTGTTATTTCCGGCTAGAGTATTTTAGGCACTCTATTTTACTCAACTAAATACCCTAGACTTGCCGTAGCTAGTTCCTTCTAACCTTGAAAAGGAACATTACTATCTATATCGCCAGCGTCAGTCTGGATAATTATAGTATAGGGATTTATGTTCTTAATTACAACTATTTACCCTTGTCTTAAGATAGGCTTAAGGCTTCTGAGTAGCTAAGTTCTAAGTTCTCTATGCTAATATCAGCTCTAAGCCATAAGTCTTAACTGCAAATAACACATCTTGCTCACAACTTAGGTATTATACTATAATACCTAACTAATTACTATTGCATAAAACTAATATCATAGAAACCTAAAAGATAGCCCAATTACCCACCGTTTCAGAGTATAAGAAGCTCTAATAGGTCCCCCAAGACAATCTAACTTAGCACCAGGAAAATCAAGGATCTTGCGAGATAATAACAGAGCAAGATAGCGGCACCTAAACGAAAGCTCGTCTATACGGCATTTCCCAACCAATTCCAACAGCAGTACATCAATAGACTTCCCCTCAGCCTGAACGACTTCCAAGTAGCTGACGGGGTTCAGGGCTGTATAGACAGGACGCGTAGTGACTAAAGTCTGAAGGTCAAGCTGTGGTAGCAGGTCCCGTATCTGGAATTCAACGTTGATTGCTACATGATGGAATATTCCAGCCATTCGATTCATAGGATGGCCAAAAGTGGTAATTATGCCAAATCACTTTTATTTACTACGTTGTTCCGTCTTGCGGTAGTATTCTAGGTGGCAATAGAACTAAAAACATGCAGCCAGAAGACTATACAGCTCTTATTCACTAAAGCAACACGTTATTCTTTCTACATGCAAGAGACTGAAGCCATCGGTCAAGGATGATATCGAAGGCTATTAAAGGGGGAGAGAGCCGGCCCTGGGCTAATATTCGCTGTTTTAAAGACTGGGACTCCATTTCTATTACAGATGGAAAGTCTTAGTGTTAAGGCTTAGATTGTTCAATCTCCATGAATGAAAGCCCCTTTGAGTGGAAGTTGTCAACCATGCTATAGTTTACCATCAAAGTATGTGGGGACCTGTGAAATACTGTCCCACCTTCACTTACAGTAATGGAAGCCGATGAGAGCTGCTGAGAAATGGCGAATTTCCCCTTTTACAAATAGAAATAGGGATATATATAGTAATCAGGATAATAATGTAAATTCTCATCCACTATTGCCCCGAACCTCTATACTATGTATGGCTTGGATTGACGAACTGCCACGTATCTGGACCCATTCTAAGATTCATGTTTATAACTAGGCAAGATAGTTGCCCCGTAGACCTCAGGCTACAAGCTATTGGAAGGTGACGGCATGTAATAAACATCCCAACTTCTTGTAATACACTAAGTATTTCTCTTATTACCTCTAAAGCCGAGTATTTACTAAATGACTTTTGTTATAAGGACAGACAGGCCGGTGAGTAATGTATCTTGGCTGTCGTACCGCGAAATATCTAAAAGAGCCCTATTATCTATTAGTTCATATAATGCAATAATACTTAGGGGTTTCTCGGCCTACTATGACCCTGCCTAGTGCACCCTGTCGTTTAGGCCCTTATATACTGTAGTTTGAATAGGTCATAACTTGATATTATTGTAGAACAACCTTGCAGGACTATCTTTTAAAGCTGTTTTCCTCCTCTCAGGGCCAACACCAAGAACTCTCCAGCAGTAGCTCAAACAACTTATTACCTATACTCTAAAACCCGCCCCCTGCAGCTCGATATCATCTCCTTGATATTCGCGTGAATTTGACTGATCTCGTGAACTCCAATGGCTATGCGTCCTGTCTGCCACAGCTGCGGCAGCATGATGATTCTCACCAGTATCCCCTACATAGCCAAGCTTACCAACGCCAGCCCAGAATGCCCTATCGTGAGTTCTTGGCCTCCAGGCCCAGCCAGCTCCTCCTGCAATGGGCAGATGATAGAATCTGAAGCTGTAATACGCTGCAACGGTGCCCATTAGAAAAGCGAAAATGATGTCGAAGCCGTCGTGTTGGTAGTCGAACCATCTCGAGCAATTGATGTAGACGGCTAGAGCAAAAGGTACGATAACAAGGACCAAGAGATACAAAGGGGCGCCGGCAGCCTGGCGGCGCTGTGACTGGATCTCCGGGTCCCGTCCGTTATCCGTCGCGGAAGAAGATGCTGACGGCTCATACTCCCCTGATCGCGATGGAAATGCCTCGTGTCTCCATTTCATGCTCGGCGGGACGAACGGGATATTAACAGCCAACTTGCTAGCAAGGAACAAGGTCAAGTAAACAAGTCCTGCAGCACTTATCGAAGAGTGCCCACTAGGAAATGCTCGGAATCCTTCGTTGAGCTTCGCCGAGTCTCTCTGTTGGCAAATGTCGGCTGAGTATAGTCGTCCATCCGCTAGACTATTGGCATACCCTGCCGCAAGGTACTTCATAGCGTTGGAGACATCCGGCTCACATCTCGACAGCATATTAGGTCGGGGCTTGCCTAACAGGTTCTTCATACATTGCACGAAGAAGAACACAGAAACGAAAGACAATGCAAGTCCCAACAGGCCTACATGAAGCTCCCATATCTTTCGCCTCCATATTAAACTCGAAGGTGTGTTGTTTGGTACCGTGCCTCCGGGCACAAAGACGAGGACTACGCCAGCGATGATAACGGCCGGGACGACGAGAGAGAGGATCGCGGCCAGGCCGATAGAAATCGTATCACCTGTGAACGGGTACCTGATTGCCCATGAAAGTTAGCGAACTTGATTTGCAATGGACGTTGATGAGCCACGTGCGAGATGTAGGGGTTAACCAAGGAGAAGTCTCGCTTGTTGGGCGTGAGGTTGCCCACGACCACCGAGACCACTAAAGCGATGATAAGAACCACCCAGTCGAAAGCGTAAGATATGAAAAGCTTCACTGAGAAGTGCATGTTTGAAGTAGGGATGATATCCGGCATCTTGTGATACGAGGACATAGCCAAAAGGAACGTCAAGCCAAGAAATGTTGTAGGCAGCGCAGCCTTGAAAGCCTATGCTTGCTAATTAAGTACCTTCCTGTTAGAAAAGAGCCCACGTGCACAGATATGAGGACAGTCTAGTTAAATAGCTAATGGGTTCATGGGTACACGTAATGCTATCAGCCACTTATGAAAGGGGGCAGGTTGTAGTAATAACTCATCCAGACTAGCTAGTAGTGTGACAAGACTTACTCCATCATCAAGGCGATGCATTGCTAAACTTGACGCGTTTTTTTATACTAAGCCTAAGGTAGTTAAAGAGCACGCCTACGTTATCGCTATATTCCTGGTGACACAAATTGACGGTCTGAGCGGCGACTGCATCCGCCAGTGGTGACGCTTGCGCACGTCAGTCACACCATCTGATTGGATAAACTCTAGGAGGTTTTATAAGACTAAGACACAGTCTCGATTCTGGGGCCTTACCCTCCCTTTATGTTATTCCCATACTAGATCCTCGCCAAGAGATCGACCCGAGGCTTGGCATAAATGACAGCATCCACAGACGGACTAATTATGACTACACTCCGATCATTGCTTGGCAAAGCCCTAAGTACCTTGGCCCTGTCAAACCTCATTCACATAAACTCAGCCTTATAAAGCCTATCATAAAAGGTAATAGAGGTTTCTCTTTGATATGCAAGAAACTTACGGCCGGGCTGTAGCGCTAATGAGCGCCTTGGCTCCTGCCTGGCCAGGTGTGTATGTCAAGTAACATCCTATTTGAGGACTCGCTTAGACTTCTCGAATCAATCATATCCGGTGACAGGGGCAAGTCTGTGGCTGGATACCTGTGCTGTCATGTACAGAGGCGGTTATATAATTGCTCCTTAATATGGGCATTTCTAATAAGTCCACAATCCAGTATCGTTCTCACAAGGGACGTTTATGTTCTCTCGCCGAGTTCCGTTTAAGTTAAGTTTATACTTTATACTCTAACTGTCTCCCTATCTGGCGGGAAAGAATCTAAAATTTCCACCAACTAGGTCAGGGTGCCTAGCGTAGGGGCCGCGTAAGCCTTGGCGGCTGAGCTTAGGTCGGGCAGGATAAGCATAAGATCGACAAGCTACTGTTAGCTCTGGCTCTCGCAAATTACGAAGTCTCTTAGTCATTGGATAATAGCAACGTCTTTGTGGGAGCCTGGGCTTTTGCAGAAGCCAAGCACGATGCATTGTCGCGCTGACCAAGGCTTTGCACCTATGTGTTGAGTCAGCTTCTAGTAATTTAGACCATGAGCGTCGGTTGCTAATATCTCTACCTCCCACTGAACACATTTTAAGTAAATGGTCAGTTAAGATGTTCTACTCACAGACTACGGATGCCGTTGCTGGGGGCCATCTGAGAACAAAAGGCTTCTTCCACAGTTCCTCATTGGTGATACAGCTTTGCGAGCCCATGTCGGACCGAATGCTGAATACCAACTCGCGATATTGTCTTTGATGGTCGAATCCTAGCCTCAAGCATCTCAGAGACCCAGAATATAATGGAAGCATTGTCGAAGAAGGGTTCACCCGAGGCACATTTGCAAGACTTGCAGCCGGCTTACTCACCGCAACCACTGAGGATCGTGCCCCCTCCACAAGGACTCAAGCTTTTCCTGATGGGCAAATCTACCCTCGCTGTTTGGCAAGCCAACAGCGTAAATGACTGAGGTTCTCTATACCTACAACACAGCAATGGACACAGCATTGCCGCCACCATGCGACATATACAGCCTTTTGCTATTGCCGCTGCTAAGGTTTCAGCTTCAGTAGGCTTGACTGCGATAGGACAGACTTTATTGGATGGAGCATTACCCGCCGCTGATTCAAGTCTCATGTCTATAGTCATTGAACCGAGCTCAGCCCACGTGGTCGTCGGGGAACATCACAACAGCTCTTGTATGCTCTGAACCCACTATTATGGGTCTCGCTTCGATCGGTCAGCTCTCTCGGGCTAGTCTTCCGGACATTACTCGCGATGTTGTCGTATCCACAGAGGAGAGCAACGCGAACATGGCAACTTCGCCACCCACGTTCTCTTTGTGGTCAACGCTTCTAATATTATCTTTTCTGCCGACACATTTCTCTCTGTCCAGATGCATCTACTATAAATAGCTCAAGGTAACGGAATCGGGGGCGATGGAAATGCATCATGACAATATCTTCCCCCAATCAAGGTCGCTCAGGCGGACTTCAAATGCTCTGGCAGACGCACTGGTCTTAATAATATGGCCTATATCAGGCCAGGTCCTGGAGCTCACTATGCCGGACGTGCAAGCGGTCCTCTTTCCGCTCTGGAATTCATTCTTTCAGGGCCATGGTAACTACCAGATATGTCAGCATCTGCCACGGCTACACTCTCTAATTTCAAGTGTTCCTGGTCCGATTGCAAGCCTTGCTCTCTATTATTCAATAGGAGCTGCCTCTGTAATATCTAAAAGAGCCCTATTATTTATTCGTTAACATGATGCGATGACACTTATCACTTGACCTACCATGACCCTACCCAGTGCACGCTGCCATTCAGACTCTTACACATTTCCTGGCTGCTTGTGTTATCCGGCGCCACATCTGCCGCGGCGAAGTTGTCGCTGCCGAATGAACTCGTCTTAGTGCGGAGGAGCTGCGCGCTTACAGTCTTGGCAAGGCCTCTACGGCGGAAGGGCTCCTACAGGCTGTAAGTTACTGCAAAATCTGTGATTGGATTGAGTATGAGCTAACCTCGCAGTGAACGCTACACAATGACCCATCCACAGCTTAAATTGTCAGATCATGGGTGATTCCTACAGTAGATTGACACTTACCCAAGAAGGCCTAAGCGACAGGCGTCCCGTCCTCCAGCTTGATAAACAGGCTTGGCAGGGTCAGCAGCAACTCCCTACTGCCTATCAGGAAGGCAGATCTTCTCACTGATCTTGGCATTGCAATCGCTTACACACTGCGCGGCACGCTTGTCCGTGACTTCACCAACTCACAGTCCCAGGCCTTGCCTGTCCCCCAGACCATGCCAGCTGTAGTTCAGGGTCCGCAGGCGCCGGCAGCTCATCGATGCGGAAAATAAACTTCTCATACTCGTACTTGGGAGTGGAACCGAAGCGCAAACCGCTAGCGATGGCCACATCGCGCACAGCGTTATTGAGCGAGCCGATAAAGATGTGGTCCGGATGCGCGAGGGGTTGGATAGGATAGATCCTCCCCTGGTATCTGGCCTCATTGAGAACGGCTTTGATCTGCTGCCGGCTGAGGGCGTCTTCGTCGGGAGACGGAGCGGGAGATGCCGGTATTTCCTCGTGAGAGTCCTCAAAGGTCGAGTAGAGCCACATGTTGGTCTCGAGGCCGAGAGAGGGGTCTAAATAAGCGGCTGTGAAGTGCCGAATCATGCTGCTGTTTGGCGTATTGCCATGTCGTTCTTGAAGGGGCATATCCGATGCGATAATGATTCGCGCAGAGACTGTCTTACCTGTGGCGAAGGTGGTGAACTGCAGGAGGCGGAGGAGAGTGACAGATCGGAGAAGCCTGGCTTCGAGTAGGTGAAGGAGTTCTGCTGGGACGTCTGTAAAGACCTGGAGGTGATGGCAGTCGGATCCCATAATGGCACTATCGGTTGATAGTTAGACAAATAAGTGTTTCAATATAGTTAACTGGACTAAATCTCTTTCCTTTAAGTTGGGCATGTTACCGAACTTATAAATAGTGATCTAAGCTTCGTAGCAGACATCGTTACAGATTATCAGTGATATGGTTGAGCGACCACCTAGACTAGGGCATCTGTTGACGCGCAGCGTCTCTAGGGTAGGATTGGTCGATCAACTAACTACAAAGCATCGGGTTAGCTCACACATGCCCCACAAGAGCCACATTTTCTTGACACAAGGGCGCACTAACTTAACTCTCGCGAAAGGACCCATTATAGCGCCTCAAGTAACTAGGTTGGTAGTTGATTTTCACATTCACCCTCCTGACCTTAACAACGCATCTTCCCTTGCACCCAGATGCGCGAGTACGATATCAGGCCTCGACAGTACTTTGCCTTGCCTCTTTGCAGACAACACCCCTCACCTTTCGTGTTGTCCGTCGCCCTTCGAAGTCCATTGACACCTAGGGCGTTCTGCAGCCAGGAAAAGAGTTCATTCACCAGGACAAGATCGCTGATTTGCTCGCCACTGTTTTCGTCTGTCCCCCAACGGAAATTGAGATGCCTGCCGATCCGGACGGGGGCATGCTTCTGCCCCATTGCGATGACGATGACTTGAGCTTCTGGTGCCGACAGCTCTTCAATGATGACCACCCCCAGTCCGTCCTCCCAGACAACTTCCTCGTTGGTTCCTTACCTGATAACTTGCTGTCTTTCGATTTATCATGGCCTACTATTGGCGAGTACACTGATCTTACATCTCACGGCAACCTTCCTCCCGCTAGTCTCTCGGATGCTCCCCTCTCTGAAGCCTCCCAGCATCACCAGCCTCCTACGACCTCTTCTGCTGAGATATGCCGCTCAGCCCATGGTTCCCACAAAAACGGCTTGCCGTCCAAGATCGGTACTCGTTTCTCTCAGGAGGCGCTCAGGACTCTTAAAGACTGGCTCAACTCTAACAGCGATCATCCCTACCCTGACGAGGAAGAGAGGGAGATGCTGCAGCGTCAGACAGGTCTTAACAAGACCCAGATTTCGAACTGGCTTACCAATGCTCGCCGCAGACGCAAGGTCCAACACCGCAGGTCCACCTCCCCTTCTGTTCGCAATAACTGTACCGGTCCTATCGACATTCCCCGGCGTCCGAATACACCTGCCTTCGAGATCAATACGAATCTGAATCCCCTGGAGCGTTGGGTTGATTCACCCCCCGAGAACGAACCCGCCTCAGTCACCGCCATCGCTCAGGCCGTCGCCTTAAACTCGAAGATTTCCTTGGGGTTGAAAAGCCCTTCCTCCTTGATTTCCACCGATGATGGATCCAACCCTTCGCTCTACAATGCCTCTTCCGCGAGTAGTGCTGGCACTTCAAGCGGTGCCTCCTTCGGCTCCATGACGCGTCAGCGCGGCCGTCGTCGTCGCAGGAGACCCGTCCCCAAGCGCAAGGAGAAACTCTCCTCAGCTGTGCCGCTCAAGAAGTTCCAGTGTACGTTCTGCGCAGGGACCTTTGGGACTAAGTATGACTGGCAGAGACATGAGAAGTCGCTACACCTCTCTCTAGAACGGTGGATGTGTGCCCCCAATGGGCCTCGGGTCCTCAATCCCCAGAGCCACCAGAACTGCTGTACCTTCTGCGGCGAGGTTGAGCCGAGCGATGAGCACATCGAAAGTCATAACCTCTTGGCTTGTATGGAGAGGCGCCCTGAAGATAGGACATTTTATCGCAAAGATCACCTTAATCAGCACCTAAGACTTATGCATAATGTCAAATTCCTCGACTGGAGCATGAAGTCGTGGAAGGTCACTGGTCCTGATATCCGGTCGCGCTGCGGGTTTTGCGGTATAGTAATGTCGAACTGGTCGGCTCGAGTGGACCATCTTGCAGAGCATTTTAGGAATGGTAATACAATGGCTGCCTGGAGGGGAGACTGGGGTTTCGAAGCTCCTGTGCTCAAGATGGTTGAGAATTTTATTCCTCCGTGTATGCAGCCCCCAACCCCACAGACCGTCTGAAGGCACTCAAAGAGTCTTTGGCCGTCGAAGCCATTTCAACCGTGCTAATTCCAACTTTGTTTAGATCTGATCGAGAATGAACGCCGCTCTCCATTCCCTTATGTTGCGACCGCTGCGCCAACCGAGAGCCCGGAGAGCGCTTATGAGTTGATAAAGCTAGAACTGGATCATTTTACGCTCAACCACCATGAAAGAACGGGCACACTGCCGAGCGACGAAGAATTACAAGTAGAGGCCTGCCGTATCATTCTCGTCTCCGAAGTCTCGTCTCTTTCCCTTCAAGGTATCGCCGCCAGAACCTCTTGGCTTCGTGACCTTCTCATGGCCTCGGAGGCTATCAACCGCCGAGCACAAACGGCTCCGCTGCGCCAAGGGAGCAAGAACAGGTTGTCTATCCTCAAGATCAATGGCGAGGACAACATGTTTGAGCAATGCCCACTCGAGAACCAACTCTACGAGTTTGTGTGGGCCAAGGGATGTTCTGTTCCCGAAACCCTAGACGTCGGTGAGCTCCAGCAGGAGGCCTGCCGCATCATCCGCCGTACCGAAGAAGCCTCGACGACTCCGTCCAGTTTCATTGTCGACTGGCTGGTCAGGCTAATCAACTCCTCCAACAGCTGGCTGCACAACTTCCGTCAACGCGCACACCTTCCGAGGACTGAGGGCACTTGTGTCAAGCCACAGCCCACAATATTCCAGGCTCAACGCCGGGAGTTGAATGAGATGGCTCGAACGCAATCTCCTAGGATGTTTTTCGGGGGCTGCTCAGAGGTGATCCCTTCCACGGTTGCAGGACAAGCGGGAGCGTTCTTCTTGACGGATGCCAACTGCTATCGTCGCCTCTTTCGGGAGCTGACGCGCTTCGTCACATCGATCATGTCACCTAACAATCCAAACTGCCATGTACCGACTGATGCTGAGATTCAGCATCAGGCTCGATGTATAATCTTTGACGAGTTAGCGCCATAGGTTCCTTTCTGATCGACATATGCTGACCATATCACAGCGACGATCCCTGGAACCAGACCGCCGCCGACAACGCGGAGTGGCTCTTGCGATTCAAGCGCGATGTTGGCATCCTGTCTTCGGGTCCCGGCCTCTCGCTGGACACCAACGCTTGGAACATCACCCACGGCGGCACGGGCTTCGCTCCTCCGTACGTCTTTCCCAATAAGCGAATGCTCCACGCTACTCCATCCACAACGGCCTCAGTCAACATCCCAAGTGGCACGAATGATTCCACCATGATGACGAACCTGGCCACGACTTCTCCCTGCTTTGACAAGGTTGAAATCTTCATTGGCAATAACGCAACGCCCTTCGAGACCAACCAAGCCTTACTGGACTGGTACATCGAAGCCTTCCCATCCCGCTATGATCGCCCCGCTACAGTCTTTTGCTCGCGCGAGCTCGAGAGCGGCCTCGTGGGCTTTGTCGAGGCCGAGATTGCACGTGGCGCTGGGTTCCCCTCGGATGAGGCGCTCAAGCTGCGCGGCCGCGAGATCCTGGGCAGTGACACGACGGCGGCTGACGACCCCAGTCTTCTTGACAAGTTCAAGGCGTGGGTGATGCCATTGTGCAATCAGTGGCAAGAGCAACAGCCCGTGGGCATGTCCTCGGCTTTGCCTTGCGATAGTGATATCAACCCGACCAATACGGAGATAGATAGCATTCTTGCTGATGCGAGCTTTGATATGACATTGAGATGATTCTAGTTACTATACGGTGTCGTTTGTTGCGTACAATGCTCTTTGAATATCCACGCTGGTTCTCTCATGTTTATATTATGCGGAGATTATATGGTTTCAGCCAGAATACTCAACTGCAAACAATACACCTAGCTCATAGAGACTGATTCGATTACACAGAGAAACAACTAAGGTCCTAGTCATCTTAAATTTCTATCACACCCACATTCCCAAACCTTGAGTGAATTCACGAACCCTCTATGGAAACAGCAGCGTGACTCGCCGACAACAAACTTTGACACAAAACCTTCTTCAGCTCAAACTTTCATGCTCGACACCAGATACCGGCGTGACTCACCCTGATGCCGAACCAAATATGATAAAATGGTGTGTAATTCGTCCATCACAATTCTTGAACTCCTCACACATCAACCCGACCCATCGCGAAACCGTTTGCCGCGCAACAACCATGACGCCAGAGGAATCAATCACACCAATCAAGGCCAACCTATCTGAAGTCCTAAACCCCGAGATCATCCACAATGTGATCCTCAAAGAGAAACGACCCCTCCACGTCTACTGGGGAACCGCCCCAACAGGAAATTCACACTGCGGCTACTTCGTACCAATGGTCAAGATCGCCGAGCTTCTCCACGCAGGATACTGCATCAAGATCCTCCTTGCCGACAAGCACGCACACATAGACAGCCTGGCGCCTCTCGAAGTGACCAAACACCGATGCGAGTACTAAAGACTCCTCATAAAGAGTTCTCTCAAGGCTATTGGCGTTGATGTCTCCAAGCTGGAGTTCGTAGTGGGGAGCTCATTCTAACACAGCAAAGAATACCAGGCTGATCGCTTTCGATTCTCGAATAGCATCAAAGTGTCACAGCTGCTCAAAGCCGGTTCTGAAGTCGTTAAGCAAGGCGAAAATCTGACCCTGGGTAGCTTGGAATACTCCATTTCGCAAAGCCTCGACGAGGAGTACCTCAATGTTGACGCGGAACTGGGCGGTGTGGACCAGCGCAAATTGTTTACTTTCGCCATCGACAACATGCCAAAGCTTGGCTACAAAGTGCGAGCACACTTGATGAACGCCATGGTGCCAGGTCTCGGAGATGCACAGAAGATGAGTTTAAGCGAGCCAAGCTCAAAGATTAATCTTCTCGATACGCCAGAAGGAGTCGCCAAGAAGCTCAGGAAGGTTGTCTACGCCCCGAGACAGCTTGAAGGCAATGGTGTCATTGCGTTTATAGAACACGTCATCTTCCGCGTTGAGTCACTGAAAACTGGTGACAAGCCAAGGTTCACGGTTGAAACGCGCGAAGGAGAGAATCTGGTCTACGACATTTCCAAGCTCAAGGAGGATTATGCCAGCGACATTTCAACACCGCAGATTGTAAAACCTACATTAGTCAAAACACTCAACAAGCTTTTAGACCTAATCCGGAAAGACCTTAAAGCTGACGATAAGTGGCAGCGCATTGGCGAGCTGGCTTATCTACTTAGAGAGAGATCTTAAAAAATAAAGATAGTGAAGAAAAACAGTAAACAGCCTTAAGTTTTTTATTTTTTACTTTATAAAAGAAGTTATAAGAAAAATATAAACTTCTTAATAAATAGCTAATAATAGGTACTATATATAAACATAAGGGGAACTTTATTTATCTCAGCTAAGTGTAGTTATTCTTTATAGCCACTTCCACTTTATATAAGATATATTCTTTAGTTTAATCTCTTCCTTATTTATAGCTATGTGTGCTACCTCATAGCCTGTGTACTACCTCTAAATTATATACTTAAGGCATAATTGAAGTATTTTCTGCTCTGGATACTACTAGATATATACTTTTTTAACATAAAAAGGTTTACTTAAAGGGTCTTAAAGTTCTCTTAAGTCTTTAAAAAAATAAAGTTATTATAAGACTAATCTTTAGTTATAAGACAGTATAAGCCAGTAGTCAGCTATGTTAATATCTGGTAATAGTTATTAATAATTAATTACCACTTTAAAGTTCACTTGCCTTAGTACTCCTAGTGGCAGGATTTATCTTTACTATATAAATCAACCTTCGTAAAGGGCTACTCCGAACTCAAGTACAAGAGAAGCTTCTTAGCATAGCCAGTAAAAGCTGCTGCTATATAGTGCTGCTAAGCGTCGTTTTTATATAAGTCTATATAATTAGAAATTCCTCGAATAATAATACAAGGCAACACGTCTATAATACTAGCTATTTCTATCTTAAAATATAAGATATTAATAATCACTCTTTTATCTATTTTAGCTATATTCTTTATGCTTTTAATAACTTAATCCCTAATATAATTAGTTTATAATACATCTCAGGAATAGGCCTATAGATTGGCCGTGTCATGAGTTTTATTATATTATATTCCTTATAGCTGTGGTATTTGGGATTATATTAATATATTATATTATAAAGCTTATTTAAATCTGCAGAGGGTTATAGGTAGTGCTCTTATATAATATTACTCTTTTTAGCCATGGCTGCTAAGTATTTAGGAACTTTACTTTATAAAACTTAGTAATTAGATTATATTATACCTATTGCACTTCTTAAAATCTTAGATAGCAGTAATAAATATCCTTTAAGGATAAAGCTATTCTTAGTATTCTTACCTAGATTATATTAAATTATATTATTATATTAGCCTTTAAGGTTACTAAGGATGTATATAGTAAACTTGTTTTATTCTCTTTTTAGGTATTTATCTTTCTTTTTAAGTATATAATAAATAACACTTATCTTGAATTTAATAATATATATTATATTAATAGTATAGTTATTATAATTAAATAGTTTGTTTATTTTTATACTATTAATTCATACTAAGTAGTTCTTTTAAAAAAGGTAATTATTAAAATTACCTTTTATAATTACTAATTAATTAAAGGGAATACTATTAACTCTAGTATTAGACTTATTATTTAATATAAATTCTTATTAATAAAATCCTTTATATATATAATTATAAGAATTTATTATATATTTATTTTACTTACTAGTAATATATATATTAAAATATTTATAGATTTTATAAATAATTAAATAAGAAAAGTTTTACATAACTATAATAAGCCTTATATTAAAATATAAAATATCTCTTTTTATAATAATTTAATCTTAAATAATAATATCCCTTATAACCTGGTTTTTTAAAGTAATTATATTATAATACACCTCAGGGTTACCCTTACTTTTTATTATAATTATAGCGGTTACGTCATATATACCCTATAAAAAAACTCCACTTTAGTAACTAACTGTTACGACCCCAGCGGTTACATCACGTGTACCCCGCATTT